AACTGAAAACATATCATGCGTCATATTTAAGAAGAGACATTACTGTTTTCCCAAAATATGCCGCACAAAAAAATCCAAGCTTCAATATTTTATTTTCAATTTTTTAGCCGCCCACTGCATTCTTGCCAAAGGATCTACAGCAAAGATTCCAAAAGACTTGACTGTCATATTAGGTGGTCATAGACTTGATAATCCATTAGAAGTTGGAAGAGTCTCAACTGGCGTACAAGCAATTGAAATTCATAAAGATTGGAATCCGAATGGACAAAAGTTTGATGCTGATATAGCTGTTTTGGTGCTGGATGAAGACATTACATTTAATTACTATATTCAGCCTGTTTGTTTGTCAGAGGTAGGAAATGATTTTTTGAGCTATACAGATGGAATTATTGTTGGATATGGAAAGAGCGAAAGTTCAAAATCTCATGAAAATGTCCCGATAAAAGCTAATACACCGATTCATTCCAATATTGATTGCCATATGGAATATCCAGATTTGTTGAATCTTGCAAGTCATCGTACATTCTGTGGTGGTTTTGCAAATGGAACTGGATCATGTACTGGTGATAGTGGTGGTGGATTGACCGTTGTTAGTAATAAAAGACATTTCCTTCGTGGCATCGTGTCAGCTTCGCTTTATGCTCATGAGTATGGGTGTGATATCAATTCCTATTCTATATTTACTGACATGCGATTCTTTTTTCGATTTGTAAATGATGTAAAAGTAAATTATGATTTAATTGTAAATTATGATTGAATTCTTAATAAAGTTTGAAAGTTTAAATTAATGTTGATGCAGTCACTGTATTAAAGTAGCATGACCTTTACCTAACCTATACCTAACCTTTACCTAACCTATACCTAACCTATACCTAACCTATACCTAACCTATACCTAACCTATACCTAACCTATACCTAACCTATACCTAACCTATACCTAACCTATACCTAACCTATACCTAACCTATACCTAACCTATACCTAACCTATACCTAACCTATACCTAACCTATACCTAACCTATACCTAACCTATACCTAACCTATACCTAACCTATACCTAACCTATACCTAACCTATACCTAACCTATACCTAACCTATACCTAACCTATACCTAAACTATACCTAACCTATACCTAACCTATACCTAACCTATACCTAACCTATACCTAACCTATACCTAACCTATACCTAACCTATACCTAACCTATACCTAACCTATACCTAACCTATACCTAACCTATACCTAACCTATACCTAACCTATACCTAACCTATACCTAACCTATACCTAACCTATACCTAACCTATACCTAACCTATACCTAACCTATACCTAACCTGGACCTAACCTATACCTAACCTATACCTAACCTATACCTAACCTATACCTAACCTATACCTAACCTATACCTAACCTATACCTAACCTATACCTAACCTATACCTAACCTATACCTAACCTATGGAAAAGCGAATATTTCGGAAATCCCGAATTCGTCAAGCCAAAAATAATATAATCAACGGAATGATCGCGAATCATCATTTTATTATTCGAATCAATAAACGATTAAATTTAAAGTAAACAAATCAACCTTCATTGCAGTTTGCATTCTCACTAGTTTATCAGTTGTGAATGAATAGTTTAGCTGGTTGGACATTAAAAATTGTGGATTTAAAAATGAATTTTAAAATTTATTTGATCCTGTTTTGTGGAATTATAGAATCTGAGATTCTTGGTGGATTGTTCACTTTTGGTGTATGTGAAGATAATTAATTTTTTATTACAAATAATTAATTTTGTAGAAATAATGGCAAAAAAATATCTTTTTATCTTTGGTAAGTTAATTTTGACTCAATTTTATCTTAAACTGATCCAAAAATCTATTCAGTTTTTAGCAAACTTGCGGCAAAGTCAAGGTCGGTCGACAAAATATTATTGGTGGAAAGTACGCAGTACACGGGGCTTTCCCATGGTGAGTAAATTATTGTTTATATGAAAAGAGAGTTCAGCTGAGAGCTTACTTACTTCTCTCCAGGGTTGCTGTACTCATTGATACTCAAGGAAAACCGTTTTGTGGTGGAACGTTGGTGACAAAAAATAAAGTTTTGACAGGTTTGCATGGTGTTGGGTTTAAATGAAATGAGCTGAACTAGAGCTGTTTCGGTTCGAGCTGAATTTGTCCAGAACTCAACTTGAGCTGAGCCAGACTAGATCTTAGTTTAAGCCGAACTTGTCCTGAGCTCGACTTGAGCTGAGCCAGACTAGAGCTTAACTCAAGCCGAACTCGTTTAGAGCTCGACTTGAGCAGGGGCCAGACCAGAGCTTAGTTCGAGCCTAATTCGTCCAGAGCTCAACTTGAGCTGAGCCAGACTAAAGCTTAGTTCGAGCTGAATTCGTTCAGAGCTCAACTTGAGCTGAGCCAGACTAATGCTTAGTTCGAGCTGAATTCGTTCAGAGCTCGACTTGAGCTGAGCCAGACTAGAGCTTAGTTCGAGCTGAATTCGTTCAGAGCTCGACTTGAGCTGAGCCAGACTAGAGTTTAGTTCGAGCCAAATTCGTCCAGAGCCTGACATGAGCTGAGAAAGACTAAAGCTTAGTTCAAGTTGAGCAATTATCAAGATTTATTCCAAAAAAATCCATTTCAGCCGCTCACTGCATCAAAGGCAAGGAAGATACTTACGAATTCCTAGCACGAGATATCACAATCAAACTAGGTGCTCACAATCTATCCAATACAGAGGAACTGGGAAAAATATCATTTGGTATTGAGAAGATTGAGCTTCACAGAGATTGGAATACAAAGTCAGCATCATATGATGCTGATATTGCTATACTAACCTTGACCGATAACGCCGCATTCTCTCGATTTATTCAACCAATTTGTCTGATAAGTTCTGACTCAGAACCAGCAAGAATCAAGACAGGATACTCGACAGGCTTCGGAAAAAGTGAAAAAGACGCAAAAAATGAAAATATTTTAAAATCTGTCGAAACACCAATTGCCGACAGCAATGAGGAGTGTTTTTATACAAATGAGGCATTCGTCAAGATATCAAGTTCACGGACATTTTGTGGTGGTGATCGAGTTGGTGGTGGAGTTTGTATTGGTGATAGTGGAAATGGATTATTTGTTGAATATTCACAGACTTATTATGTGAGAGGAATTGTCTCTGCATCGCTGTATTCAAATCTTAATTGTGACGTTGATAATTACGCAATTTTTACGGATGTATTAAAGTTTAATGACTGGATTGTTGAGATGATTGACCAGGATGACAGGCCTTATGTATATGGGTGAGAATGTGCTGATGATGATGTTAAGTTTTGAGTATTTTGTAATTTTTTTTCAATTTTTTTTTAATAGTCCATCAGCAATGCAAGGTAAGTTAAAGAGAATATCTCAAAATATTGGTCCCCCTTGAGGGATTTTGACCCCTCCGTTTAGAGTCTTAGCTTACTAAGAGAGGATTGGGTCAGTAATCGTAAGAATTCCACCTGCCTTTAAAGAACTAAAGTAGTCTTGTAAAAATAGGAACCCACGTGAGGAGAAAGAAACCAAACTCGAGAAATTCATGCCCCCTGTCGAAAAAACCTAATCTTTGTCGATAGAACTGAATCTTTCTGAGAGAAAGCAATGCTCTTTAAAGGATCAATTCCATTTCCAGAGGATAAAAACCTCCAGAACAGAGCCAGACTAGTTCGATTGGATCAGAATCTCAATAGAGAATCAAACCCCTTATTTATAAGAAGATTAGACCATCTTGAGGTTGTTCCCCCCTTAAGAAGTTTAAATGCTGAACTTTATTCAATGTTCTATACACTTCAGTAGTAATTGACTCATACTTTCAGTCACAACCACCATCAGACCTCCGACAAGACCAACAACAAGTATCCCAAAAAGACCTCCAACTATAGCACCAACATATGCACCAAAACGAAGTCCATCAATTGTTCCAATGAAATCTCGGATTGAAGTAACTGAGGGAACCAACTTTGAACTTCCTTGTCAATCATATGGATCGCCAAATCCAACTATTCGTTGGTCAAGTGTGAGTGCTTTTGACAACTTTTCTCTTGATTTTTTTATAAATTTATTTTGTCCTTTTAGGCTATTCCAGTTGATGACAATGTTGGAACAAATGAAAATGTTTTGGTAATTACTAACGTGTCCTTCCGAAATAGTGGAACATTTACCTGTACTGCTGTAAATTCTGAAGGAAAGGATTCAGTTAATGTATTATTGGTAGTCAGATGTGAGTAACTTGAACCTCCATTGAGCAATTAAACTAATTTAACTGTTCAATTCCAGCTGCATCATCTGTTGGGGTCGTTCCATGGGAATCACGTAGCGGATCATCACAGATATCAGTTGGAAACATGCCTCCACCAAAACAAGTTACAGCAGAAATTGGAGGTACAAGTGAGCTTAAATGCACATCGAGTGGGAATTTTAGACTCGATTGGAGACGTGCTGATGGACAAAGACTTCAATCGAATGCAGCCAGCTATAATGGTGTATTAGTCATTGATAATGTTGGATATCAAGATGCTGGAACTTATGAATGTGTTGCAACTGATGATTATGGAAATTCTGAAGCTATTTTGTCAGCTAAAATGAATGTTGTTGGGGGTGGAGGTGGATATAGTAACAGAAGTCCTGGTTTTGGTAGCAGTCCAGGTTATATCAGCAGTCCAGGTTATAGCAGCAGTCCTGGTTATATCAGCAGTCCAGGTTATAGCAGCAGTCCTGGTTTTAGTAACAATGGTGGATATTACAGGATCAGCAAGGGTTGGACAATTGAGTCTTAATGATCAGTTTTTATGGCAATTTCTGGATTCGTTTAAAGCTCCAACACGAAGGCTCGCTGCTAATCAGACCACTTCCTGATATAAGCTGCATTTCTAATAAATTGAAAGTTTTAGTAAATAACGTATAAAATAATAAATTTAAATTTGTATCAAAAAGTAAAAATGGATTTTATTCGTACCCTGATTCGTAATTTGATCAGTTCCACTTCCTTGGTTATTTGTAAATATGCAGTAAACTCAAATGCACTCATCAGTTTTTAATCAGTTAAGTTCAAATCGTCAGATAATGTGGAAGTTCCTCATACATCTAGGTGCAATCCTTTTCAGCACAGCTCACTCAGCTAATGAAGTGAAATTCGAATGTAAAACTGACAGCAGATTCCTTGAGGAAAACTACTGTTGGCTAACAGATCTGTCGACCGCAGATGATCAAGTCATTGTGACTGAATCAAGCTTTAATCTTCAAGAACAGCTGAAGTTCCAAAAGCCAATCAACATTATTTTACTCGGCAATGAAAGCTACCCGGAATACTTTCCAAAAAACTTCACAAGATTCTTGACTGGCGTCAGTGGCTTCATATACGATGACACTTCATTAAAGTACATCCAACGAGATGACTTTACAGGCTTAGCATCACCAAATCCTTTAATTCTTCATTTGAGAAGCAACGAAATTGAAGAAATTCCATTCGACACATTTTATGACTTGACAAATTTGCTTTATTTGGACATCAGCAGCAATAAAATTAAAAGTTTGGCATCAAATTTACTCATTAATTCTATTGGACTTCATTCATTAAGCATCAGTGGCAATGATTTGACGGAACTGCATCAAGACTTGCTCATAAATTGCCCACAACTCTATGACTTGACTGCTGAGTTCAACCAAATTCAGGAACTGCATGAAGATTTATTCAGGAATAATCAAAACATGAAGTCAATCTCGATGATGTACAATAAAATAAGGAACATTAAGGTTGACTTTAGGAAGTTGAAGTCTTTGCATTTTGCTGATTTTAGAAACAATTTTGGGACATGTGACGTCATTTTTTCTACTTTGACACCAGACGATAAGGATTTTGATGAAGTTGACCAGAGGAAGGCAATGAAGAATGTGCCAAAGTTCCAGAAGAAGATTGAGAAGGTTTGCAGGGAATAGAACTTTATTATAGTAATAACCCGAATAGCACATGTTGGTTAATAAAATAGAAATCCTTCATCAAGCTGGCGTGACTCTCGTATGGTACTGGATTCGATTTGAGTCTAGCATCATTCCAGAGTCACGCTTGTTTGGTTCCGGATTTCGATTTGACTAACCGTTTTGTGTTATTCGGGTTAGGAATTGACAAAGTTTAACTCCGCTCTGCCACTTCTGAGTCGTTAGCGTTGTTTTTTGTGATTTATATTCATGCTTAATTAGCCTTATGACCCAAGAAATAAAGTAAATAAAATAAAGAAAACAAAGTTTGAAAGCTTATCTCAGCTATATTTTTTTGCATCATCTGCAAAGACAGTGATTCTCAACTGTTTGGATCATAAGTCTGCTTTTGAGATTAGCTAAGGTCCAGCTGTAGTCAGCATCCGATAGAAGTATGGTTGGAAGTGTAGACAAAAGGTAGAGATGTGAATTATGGACTTCCAACTTAATACCTAAGTCTAATCTATCTTGACTTTCATACTACCCCCCCCCCCCCCCCCCCGCTTCACCCTGACCCCTCCCTTCTTGCTACGCTACAGTCCTGAAGATGGATAAGGTACGATTTTTTCTGTAATTTGTGAAATTTCAAACAAAGGAAATTTACATCCAAAAGAGTTTTTTGACAGCAAAGATGGGGCGGGGGAACCTAAAAAGTAAAATCCCTCCTCAAAGATCATTTTCTTTTCAGTGAACCTATCCAGGTGCATAGCCAAGAGGGTCTTGTCCCCGCTAAACGTTTTGAACCGCAGCAAGAGCACGGCCTAAAACACTTAAGAGGGGGGACAAGACCCTGAACCTAGCTATTCAGCAGCAATCAGAGTGTCACGAAATCTAAGTTAAGAACTCCTGCATTTTTTAAATTAATAAATAAACAATTTTAATCAGTCAAGTGTGCCTCATCAGCTGATCAGCAAAAATAACTTGTTATTGTAGCTTCTTAATCCTCATTCAGTCTTTATTAAAATGTGGAACTGGCTAGTAAACCTTACTGTGCTTGTTCAGTTGACAGCATCAATTGAACCTTTCCATGAAGTCGCACTAAAATGTGAATCAACAAGTGAAATAAATAATGAGGATATTGCGTATATTGCATGCTCTATGGAGAATGTGACGTCATCAAGTAATCAAGTGACTGTGACATCAATGAATTTGAGCATGGATGAGTTAAAGAAGCTGAATATGTCAATTTACATCGATATTGTTGGAAATGGAAATTATCCAGAATATTTTCCTAAAAATTTGGGTAAAATTATTAACGGAACTGGTGGATTTACCTACAAAAATACACCATTAAAGTACATAAGTCGAGCTGATTTTAAAGACTTTGCACCAGATTTGTACTTGATTATCTTGGAAGACAATAAAATTGAGGAAATTCCATTCGACACTTTTTATGACTTGCCTGATTTAATTTATTTGGACGTCAGAGATAACAAATTGACAAGTTTGGCACCAAATATGTTCGCCAATTCACCAGCATTCCATACTTTAATCATTGAGTCAAATGAAATTACTGAGCTGCATCCAGATTTATTCAAAAACTGCCCAGAATTTTATGTCCTGTACGCTGAGTTCAACAAAATTGAGGAGTTCCATGAAAGCTTATTCATAAACAATCCAAACATGACAGTCATCTCGATGAGGCACAACAAGATCCAAAACATCCCGATTGACTTTACAAAATTCAAGCACCTTGATGTTGCTGACTTTACACATAATGGAGGGACTTGTGATACAATGTACTTCAGTTTCGAGCCTTACGATGAGCATTATGATAAGAACGAGCAGAAGAAGTGGATCAAGACTGTGCCTGAGTTTCAGCAGAAGATTGAGGAAGTTTGTCGGGCTTAAGAAATGAAATTTTGCATAGTTTATATTTGAGTATGTAAAAGAAGAAAAATTAGCAAATAAAATGAGTTTGAATTGAGTATGTGAGAATTTAGAACATAATAAGCCATGAGCATTGCCAGAGTTGAGTTTCTAAATTTTCAAACTTTTTTTGGAGTAACCATCACTAATAATGTATCATTGGTTTCAAACTTAGAGGATTATATTGATATTTTTAGGATCTTTAAGTTTCTAAGGATAAGTTTAGTTTCTACGAACAAGTTTCGTTTTTAAGGATTAGTTTAATTTCTAAGGAAAAGCTTAGAGTGTGAGAATAAAGTCGTTTTTTTGAGGCTAAGTCGGTCTCTCGAGACAAGTTCAATTTCAGAGGATATGTTCAGTTGCTGAGGATAAGCTAAGTTTTTGAGGATAGTTTCGTATTTTTTAAAAAGGGATTTGCGGGATAGGTTTAAATTATGGAGGACAGGTTCAGTTTCTGAGTATGTATGTGGTTTCTAAGGAAAGGTTCAGTTTTATATAAGATTACTTTTCAGGATACGTCCAATATCTGCGGATAATTTTACTCTCTGAGGATAATTTAAATTTTTGGGATAAGATTAGTTTTTATATAACGTTCAGTTTCTGAGGATACTTTCAATTTTTCTAGGAAACAAGTTTAGTTTTAACGGATAAGTTTAGTTTTTTGAGAATAAGTTCGGTTTCTATGGATAAGTTTAGTTTCTGAGGATAAGTTCAGTTTGTAAAATTTGAGACTAGTTATGTGCTTTTTTAAATAATAACCTAAGACAATTTTCTGAAGAATTTTTAAGGTCCTCAATCATGACTCAACAACAATTTTGTTGATAACAGTAATCACGATGGGTCGAAGCTAGTAAATAATTCAAAATTTCTTCATTATCAGCCTTCTTATATAATAAAATAAGCACATAAAAAGTCAAAAAAGGTCTCAAAATTTACTCAGTTTTAATAAAATCTCCAAAAAATGAGGAAGCTTATTGTGTTTCTAGCTGCAATAATTCATTTATCAGCTCACGCTGCTGTAGTCGATCCAGTCAATGAAGTAGCAATAAATTGTGATCCCAGTAAATACAGTGATGACGAATATGAATACCTTGAATGCTTCTTAATTGAGGTCAAATCACCAAAAGATAAAGTTGTTGTGACGTCATCGAGCATTAATATGGACACAATTAATTCATCAAACAAGACGATCCACGTTGACATTACTGGAAATGTCAATTATCCTGAATATTTCCCAAAGAATCTCGCTGCATATTTCAAAGGAACTCACACATTTAGGTACAAAGAGACACCACTGAAGTTCATTAAGCGTGAGGATTTCAAGGATTTAGGATCGACATTGACACTTTTAAACCTTGGAGAAAGTGAGATCGAAGACATCCCGTACGATGCTTTCTATGACTTGACAAACCTCGTTTATTTGGATATAAGTGACAACAGACTGAAGAACCTCGACACAAGATTGTTCCTCAATTCTCCAAAATTTAATTCATTGTTTATTAGGTCCAATGAAATCACTGAAATCCATCCAGACTTACTCAATAGCTGCCCAGAATTCTATGTCCTTTATGCTGGGTTCAATAAAATTGAGGAATTTCACGAAGATTTGTTCAAAAGCAACCCAAAAATGTGGGTTATTTCAATGAGGCACAACAGAATCAAGAACATCCCAATCGACTTTAATAGATTCACAGAACTGCATGTTGCTGACTTCACACACAATGGAGGAACCTGTGACACAATGTATTTTATGAACCAGCCATATGTTGAATATTACAACGATGAGGAACAGAAGAAGTGGATTAAAACTGTGCCTGATTTCCAGAAGAAAATTAAAGAGGTTTGCAGAGGTTAGATTTATGTCATTAAACAGCTTAACTGTATTTTTATGATTCTAATAAAGTTTAATCAGTTTGCTTGACACTTGACAACCTTGTTGAATTTTTGTGTGATTAAAATTATTTCAGATGACTTTCAGTTTAAATTTAATCTCTTTGAAATGTGGAAGCTTATTTTCATCCTCGCCTTATTTCTTCAATGCTCTACACATGCCTCAGTATTTGAGCTTCTACAACCAATAGCTGAGGTGTCGCTAACCTGCGGACCGATCACATTTATTGACTCATACACAGAATCCCTCGATTGCAGTTTAAAGGATGTAAAATCATCAAATATTGAAGTTGCAGTGACATCAAGTGATGTTGACATGGCAGGCTTAATATCTCGTGAGAATTTCGTCAACATTGACATCACTGGGGATGATAAATATCCAGAATACTTCCCAAAACACTTAGCCAAGACTCTAAAAGGAACAACAACATTTACATACACAAAGACGCCTCTGAAGGTCATCAAGCGTGGCGATTTGACTGATTTTGGAACTAAATTATATATTTTGAGCCTAGCTGACAATAAAATTGAGGATATTGCGTACGATGCCTTACACGGACTGACAAAACTTCGCAACTTGATTCTCAGCAACAATAAATTGAATGATTCTGGGGAAAAATGTCGTAATTGCATTTTGTTCTTTTACTTGTTATAACTCTAAAACTATAGAAGATAACATAGACATATTATATATTGTTAGAATTGACATTCAAAGAGCTATTTAATTATGCTATTTTTGAACCGGTTCAATCGGTTTAAACGGTTCAAAAACTGGTTAAAAGTTGAAAAACTAAGAAATTGAATAACTTTTTTTTGATTAAATGTCAATATTTACTTTTATTTCGATGAAAAATGTGAAAAAATAGAAGAAAGTGGAATAGAAGACTAAAACTAAATGAAAAAAGGTACAAAAATCATTAGAAAACAATAAAAAAATTTTAGACGTCATTTACTGATAAACCCCAAGCTTGTTATATATCATTTTAAAGTAAATTAAAAGCTTTTTTTATGCAATAAAAATTTTTCCGTATTTGAAAGATAAGTATCAAATAAAGGTAAAATAGTGTTCAAAACATTTTAATGTTTTAAGGTTTTATCATTTTTTGACAAAACTTATTCACAAATCCCACAAATTATTAATGTTTATTAATTTATAAGAAAATTGAAAATTTTTAAGGTATATATCGTTATTGTATCATATGTAGTTGCTGAGAAATAAGCTTTCAAAATTTCGACATAAATGGCACATAAATGACGTCACAGGTCGAGAATCAAAAATCTAGCTCCAACAAGTTATGGGCATTTTTAAAGGCTACAAAATGAGCTAAAAAGCAAAGCCTTTGATTAAGTATTGAAAAAGTTATTCAATTTCTTAGTTTTTCAACTTTGAACCAGTTTTTGAACCGTTTAAACCGATTGAACCGGTTCAAAAATAGCATAATTAAATAGCTCTTTGGATGTCAATTCTAACAATATATAATATGTCTATGTTATCTTCTATAGTTTTAGAGTTATAACAAGTAAAAGAACAAAATGCAATTACGACATTTTTCCCCAGAATCATTCAATTGAAGAGTCTGCCATCAAATCTGCTCTCAAATGCTCCAATTTTGGACTCTTTATTTATCAATTCCAATGAGTTGACTGAACTTCATCCTGAATTGTTCAAGGACAGTCCATTATTTAATTTCCTCAGTGCTGAGTTCAATAAAATTGACAAAATTGATAAGGATTTGTTCAAAAATAATATAAATTTAAGCATAGTCTTGATGAAGCACAATAAAATCAGGAACATCCCGATTAACTTTACCAGATTTGAGCTGCTTGATTCTGTCGATTTCACACACAACGGTGGTTCCTGTGACACAATGTTCTTTAGTTTTGAGCCTTATGAGGAACAATATGATGAAATTGAGAAGAAGAAGTGGATTAAGAGATTGCCAGAGTTTCAGAAGATGATCGAGGAGGTCTGTAGAGGTTGAGGTGCTATATCAAAAAACTGAATTGTTTTAAATTACAAAAAAAAATTTGTCTCAATAAAGCAAAAAATATTTCTTAACCTAGGTCATTTACGGCATCTGCCTTATCAGTCATGATTTTATGTAATTTCTTAAATTTCTTCAGAATGTAATATGAGAAGTTTTTACAACATTGTAACTCGTCGTTGCCTAAAAATTTTGATTTTAATGAATATTAGACCGTATTTTTGTTTAAATTATAGTAGTAAATTCGCGTAAAGTCACATAAAGTGCATTCCATTAAATTTAGATTGATTAATCTTTAAATAAAGAGAAAAATTGAGAATCAAAAAATTTATTAGAAAAACCAGCATCAAATTCAACTTATTCTTATCAAACCTGGTTAAATTAATTTTGGTTGAAGTTTAGTGAGTATATTTGAGGCTGGACAAAATCAAGCGTATTCATTGAATAAATGCGATTATGTCAACAGGCAAATAAGTGCTTAAAACTTCACCAATTAAGTTATTAACCAAAGAAAATAATTTTGAGCTCGGTGAGATCCAGTCATAACATTGACAAATTCGAACGCAACTGCTACGAGCCCACGTGACTGATCCAAAACGTGTTGACAAAAAAAAAAATCGTTAAAAAGACGAAATATTTGAAAATATCAGTGAAATCCTTGAAATAGCTTGACATTATTTCAATTTTCAATTGCCGTTGGAACTTAATTTGATTCAAGATGTATGAACGTAAAGGAAATGCAGCTAATAAGAATCAAGCACACTTGCAAAAGCGAAAAGATGTCAAAAATCCAAATGAGCTTAATAATCCAGGATCGAGAATTATGGACTTCTTCAAAAGTCAGCAATCATCACAGAATCAGCTTAATGAAAGTTTCTCATCAACGTCATCTCTTATCACTTCTCTTAATGGTACGATCGTTGATCCAATGTCTGAATTGCCTCAAATGGTCAGCGTGCTTGAAGCTAGAAGAAAATCATTAGATGAAAAGAAACTTGGCATTACTAATATTAAAGATGAGCAGATAAAAAAAATATTACTTGATATGATGGATGAAATGAAAAATATTGTTGAGGATACTGACAAGATATTGAAGTGCCATAATGAGATAATAATCAGGCAAAATGAAGATTTGGAAGAAATCCAGTCAAATAGCGCATCCATCAATAACTTGACCAAAGGTGTTGGAAACCTAGCAGATGGAATAAGTGAAGTAAAGAACCGTCTCCAATCACTGGAAGTCGCAAAAAATTGTACATTCGATAGTCACTTCATTAATATTATTTTTGTGAATGGAAAGGATGCTGATTGTGTCGAGAATGGAACTATTGGGCCGAAACAAAAATTTGATGAAATTTTGAGTGAAATGCGAATTGTCTCACCCAAAGATATTATTGATGCTCACCTGATGACTGTCAGTAGATTTGTGAATAGAAGACGAAAGCAGATAAGAATGTTGAGGGCTCGATTCAATGACTCTGTGACTGCTGGTCGCATTTTTGCACAAATCATCAACCATAACAAGAATATTACAGATGAAGGAAAACAGGATGTACTGAAATATTATGCTGAAATGCCTGCAAGCAAAAATGTATGGAATTTAAAAAGAATCTGTTACGAGTTAAAGAATGAAGGGACCTTAGTCAATGTTCGTGGATCCGATCGTGGTATTCTGGTGACTTATAAAATGAAGAATGAGGATGGTGAAAAAGAAAGCGTTAGAACCAGCGCTGTGACTTCGGAAAAGGAGATTGATGACTTGAGGAAATTGTTGAATGTTGAAGATGCCTACATATCAGTTTCTGCAAAGTATAATGAAGACTTTTGGAATAAAAAGAAGAAACCTGCAATGGAAAAGAAAAGAGGAAGAGATAATGATGAAAATGATGTCATTAGTGGTTCAAAGCGACTTAATTCAGGAACAAGTAAACAATGAAATGATGCCTCATCAGCTCAGTTACCATGCCAAAAAAGCACACAAATAATTAATTTCAACAACTGCGACGTGAATCAAATAAAAAATGGAATATTAAAAAAGGAAAATAACCCGCATTTTTCATTACTGTTTTGGAATATACGATCCATAAAGTCGCTTAACAAATTTACTAAATTTAAAATGCAATTAACTGAACTGGTGAGTGATAGGAATAAGATAATTGATTGTCTTGTTCTAGCGGAGACGTGGATTGATCCTCTTGATAAATTTAAATTATATGAATTAAAAAATTACAACAGCTTTTCAATTTTACGTGATACATCTCAAGGAGGAGGAATAATTATATACGTTCGTAAATATTTTGCTACTAATGTTCTAACTAGAATTTGTAATAAGGATGTGGAAGCAATTCTTGTCGAAATACTGTCAGAGAATTTAAGACAAAAGATCCTTGCTATCTATCGACCACCTTCAGGAAATTTGAACGCTTTCTACGAATTTATGGATAATCTGTTTAATGAGCATAGCAATATGTTGATAGTAGGAGACATGAATATTAATCTACTAAACGTAAATGCTTGTAAGGAATATGGAGATCTAATGATGATGAATGGTTATATGGTTGCAAATAACGCAGTAACTAGACCTGCTTCTGGCTCATTACTTGATCACGTGATGATTAGAGATAATACAAGTGCTTTGATTTATACATCCAAAAACTACAAACTTTCTGATCACAATTTCATAGTCCTGATTAGAAAAATTACTCACCAATCGAACTGGATCCACACAACGTTGTCAAAATTAGACCATGCGATCATAAGTGATGAACTTGCTAATCTTAATTTAATGAATTCCATCAGCCGATGCTCAAATGTTGATTCTGCCTTCTCAAAATTAATAGAATTGGTTAAGATGTCGACAGATAATGCTCGCAAGACCTACAAAATTAAACATAGATATGAAAATGAAGTTCCACCATTTGTCGACAGAAAATACATCCGAATATCAAATAGCATTAACAACTTGCACGACAAAATTCGTAAGAGAAAGAATGAAAACCTAGCAGTGAGTCTACTGGAACTTAAAATGTCAAATCTGGAGGATTTGTTGAGTCAGCATGCTAATATGAAGGCAAATATGTATTACTCGAATATAATTTCAAATAACCGATCGTTCTCATGGAACATAATTAATGAAATTACTGGTCGCTCAAAGAAAGATGATGATTTGGTGATTCAACAAAATAATAGTGTGATATATGACAATAAAGAAATCGCAAATGCTTTTCAACAAAAGTTTACAGAATTTGAATGTAACTCACCGAATCCACTTTCTTTGAATTACTTGGGAGAACGGCTTATTAACAGCATTGTGATAAATCCAGTCACTAAAGATGAAATAGCCATGATGATGAACGATTTGTCATTAAAGAAAGCAATCGGAAGTGACGGAATTCCTATCAAGGTATGGAAAGATAATATCGACATTTTGGCTCCAGTTCTGACTGTTTTGGTAAATGAAATGCTTCATAGTGGAATCTATCCGGATGTCCTTAAAATTGCAGCCATTAAACCTATTCATAAAAAAGAAAGTAAAACTAATATAGAGAATTACAGAGGAATCTCACTCCTTCCAGCAATTAATAAAGTCGTTGAAAGAGTTATTTACGATCAAATTGAGAATTTCATCATTAAATATAAGCAATTCGATGAGCTTCAATTTGGATATCGCAAGCACTTTGGCACGCATGATGCACTTTGTAAGCTTTACAGCACAGTCTCTAAAGCATTAGATAGAAACAAATATGTGGTGGCTGTATTTTTCGATATTTCAAAAGCATTTGATAGTGTCAACCACGAGTTACTGTTGTTTAAGCTTGAAAAAATGGGGATTCGAGGAATAGCACTTAATTTAATAAAAAGTTATCTTACCAACAGGCAGCAATACGTAAAGATCATGGATGAATTGAGTGAAATCATGGTAATTCTTTTTGGGATTCCTCAAGGTAGCTGTCTTGGCCCACTGTTGTTTGTACTGATGCTGTATGACCTGAAATTTGTTGATACTGACTCGTTGATACTGAAATTCGCAGATGATATCGTAATGGTGCTTACTTGTGACAATTTGGAGGATATTCCAGGTACTATAAGTAAAGATATGGATAAAGTTAGAGAATATTATCAACGCAACGGACTCAAATTAAATGGAAATAAGTCAAAGTACATGAAATTTGGATTCACAGACTGCAAAGAATTAGATGATTTAATGCAAATTCATGGAATTGAAAAAGTTGAGACAATTAAGTATTTGGGAGTAGTTGTGGATAGTAAATTAAGAATGACTGAGCATGTTAATCACCTAGCAAAAACAATTTCTCAGTCGATGAACGCTATGAATGTCATTAAGAGGCACTTGCCAACTTTTTCACTTATGCAATTTTATAATGCCTTCATAGGCTCTCACATGTATTGCAATGGTTACCTGATTTGTAGAATGAATGCTGGAGACATCAACAGACTGCAGACAATTCAAAATAAAGCTCTCAAGACAGCATATGGACTGGAGCGAAGATTTTCAACTGAAAAATTGTTTGATGAAATAGCTGTTAATGTCTTGCCAGTAAGAGGAATTGCATTTTTTAACTTACTCTTATTGACTAAAAAGTACATCGTAACTAATCATGAAGATATTGAAGTGATTTTGGAAGGACGTCGAAAAGGGCAGTTAAAATATCCGAGATTCCGAAAAGTGCTGCTAGCCAATGATCTCATCTGTCTTGGTCCCAAAATCTTCAATCAGCTACCTCTGAAAATAAGAGAAATTAGAGGATTTAATTTATTTAAAAGGAAACTGAAAACTTTTTTATTAGAGAATAAATTAATATTCCTGAGGGGCAGTCAACTGGATGTAAACAATATGTTTAATCAGCGAAATCCTTGAGATGCGAAATTTAAAAATTTTATTAGACGTTATTAATATTTTTGTTTTTTTTTAAAAATGTTTTCACAATCAATTAATTAAACTTTAAAATTGGAACTTGCAGTTACTTACCAATTGTACGTGTGCGTACATTTCTCAACTCACCATTATAAACACTTTAAGGTGTAAAACTTATTGAATATTATCTTTTGTTATTATTTTTAACCGCTATTATAACAAGTTTCTTAATTATTATTATATGCCAGTTTATTTTGTCACTAGTCTTTAAGTTTATCTGCCCGAGAGGGCTAATAAAACTCAATCAATCAATCAATCAATCAATCAATGTCACACACTTGAATAAGTCTAATAGTCTACAAAATGACTTAATAACAATATCATTTGAGTTAAATAAAACAATTATAAGCCATATGATCACTTTTGTGGCATATGCTTCCTCAAAAACTAAACGTGTCCTCAGAAAGTGGACGTATCTCAAAAAATCTGAAAGTATTTTCAAAAGCTAAACGCATCCTCAAAATTTTAAAGTAATTAAAAACTGAACTTATGCTCAGAAACTGAATGTATCCTCAGAAACTGAACGCATCCTCACAATTTCATCTTATTCAAAAAATGAACTTATCTTCTGAAACTACACTCATCCTCCAAAGCTACACTAATCCCCAGAAACTGCACTTGTCCTGAGAAAATGAACATATCCTTAAAAACCAAACGTATCATCACAATTTTACCTTACTCAAAAACTGAACTTATCCTCAGAAACTGAAAGTATCCTCACAATTTTACCTTATTCAAAAAATGAACTTATCTTCTGAAACTACACTCATCCTCCAAAACTACACTAATCCTCAGAAACTGAACTTGACCTGAGAAACTGAACATATCCTTAAAAACCAAACGTATCCTCACAATTTTACCTTACTCAAAAACTGAACTTATCCTCAGAAACTGAACGTATCCTCAGAAACTGAACGCATCCTCAGAAACTGAACGTAACCCCAGAAACTGAGCGTATCCCCAGAAACTGAACGTATCCTCAGAAACCAAATGTATCCTCACATTTTTACATCATTCAAAAATGAACTTATCCTCAGAAACTAAACTCATCCTTCAAAACTACACTAATCCTCAGAAACTACACTTGTCCTCAGAAACTGAACGTATCCTTAGAAATTAAACGTATCCTCACAATTTTACCTTACTCAAAAAATGAACTTATCCTTAGTAAATGAACTTATCCTCTGAAAATGCACTCATCCTCCAAAACTACACTAATCCTCAGAAATTGAACTTGTCCTCAGAAACTGAGAACTAAGAGTCTTAACAAAACTCTTACTAGCTAATTTGACAACTCTGGTTTTAATCAGCTCAGCATTAATTAAGAAATTATAATATATAAAGCCAAAATAAACCTCAAAATTCACTCAGTTTTAATTTAATCTTCTCAAAATGTGGAAGTTCATCATAATCACTGCCATAGTCTATCAATTATCAGCATACGCTGCTGTAATTGTACCAACTCAAGAAGTGGCCCTTAACTGTGTAAAAGAATCAGGAACTGACGAATATTTGATATTTTTTGACTGTTTCTTGATGGAAGTTAAATCATCAAAAGATCAAGTTTATGTCACTTCAACTGATTTGGATACCAACAGCATAGAAGCACACATAACGGTTGTCAGATTGCAAATATCCGGAAATGTCAATTATCCTGAATATTTCCCAAAGAATCTCGCCAAGACAGTCCACGGGATTACAAATTTTTTCTACAAAAAGACACCATTGAGGTTCATTAAGCGTGAAGACTTCAAGGACATGCCATCAAAATTGACAATGCTAAGCTTAGAAGATAATGAGATTGAGGACATTCCGTTCGGTGCTTTTTATGACTTACAAAATCTTAAATATTTGGATATAAGTGGCAATAACTTAAAGGAACTGGATCCAAATTTGTTCACAAAATCACCACTTTTTGACTCGTTGTTAGCCAAGTCCAATGACTGAACTTCATCCTGATTTGTTCAAAGACTGCCCAGAATTCTTCGTCCTGTATGCTGAGTTTAACAAAATCAAGGAACTTCACGAAGATTTATTCATAAACAACCCAAATATGACGGTCATCTCAATAAGGCACAACAAGGTCAAGAATGTCCCATTTGACTTTACTAAGTTTGAGCTCCTTGAAGTTGCTGACTTTACACACAATGGAGGAACCTGTGACACAATGTTCTTTAACTTCCCACCTTATGATGAGTGGTATAGTAAGGAAGAACAGAAGAAGTGGATACAGGAACTGCCAGATTTTCAAAAGAAGATTGAGGAGACATGCCGCGGTTAGATTTGCTGATTGATTTAGTTGTAAGCATAGCTTGTGTCTTATTAATCCATACCAGCATGCATGCGATCATTTACGTAGCGAGAGAACTTACGTAAAACATTGAAACATTCAACATCGAAGCATTCAGCATTGAAACATTCTCTCAAATACATCAAAATCTTTTCAGTTATGATTCACAACCTGAATAGCTCGCACATTTCACCGCATTTTCTCTGGAATTTGTCCCAAAATAAATAAAATGCCTTTTAATTTATGACAAAAAATAAAATATTTTTGATGTAGTTTTTGAGCATTTTCAATTAATTTTATTACCTTTTAATTATGACAAATGAGATTTTTTTTGTGGTCAATTATTATAATTGCTGTGCACTTTTTTTGTCGCGGTTTTAATTGGAAATGTTGCCTAATGGTCAGGTGAATTTATGATGAATTGGTTGTGCGTTTGGCTGAGTGGAATTTTGGAGGTTTCAGGAAACTTTGATATCTAACCATTTGAGAATTTTGAGGTTATAATTCAAAATTTGAGGTTAAAATCCTCAATTAAGGTTAGACTTCACAACTTTGAGGTTAGAATTTCAAATATTGCGGTTAAAATGTGAACTTTGAGGTTAGAATTCAAAATTTGAGGTTAAAATCCTCAATTAAGGTTAGACTTCACAACTTTGAGGTTAGAATTTCAAATATTGCGGTTAAAATGTGAACTTTGAGGTTAGAATTCAAACTTTGAGGTTAAAATCCTCAATTAAGGTTAGACTTCACAACTTTGAGGTTAGAATTTCAAATATTGCGGTTAAAATGTGAACTATGAGGTTAGAATTCAAACTTTGAGGTTAAAATCCTCTTGTTTAGGTTAGAACTCCAAATATCGAGGTAAAAATGTAAAATTTGAGGTTAAAAATCCTATTTTTGAGGTTAAAAACTCCAAATTTTGAAATTAGAATTCTAAAATTTGAGGTTAGAATCCAATTTTTGAGGTTAAAGTTCTCACTTTTGAGGCAGTAATTTCATAATTTGAGGTCAAATGAAAATTTTGAGGTTAGAATTTCATAATTTGAGGTTAATTGGAAATGTTCGAGATTAGAATTCTTGGTTTTTAGGTTTTGTTCCAAATTATCAAAATCAGATTATGTCAAACAAAACTTATTAAATAGCTTTTCAGTTATCACGTTCAAACAAATTAAAAATAATTCCCTGAGACTTATAATCACTTGATCTCAATTTAGAACTTTCCACCCCAATGCATCCATACAACAGCAAGTCTCCCATTCCAATTTTCTAAATTTTCCACCTCAGTACTTAAATTCTCATCCATCTCAAACTCGGAGACAATTTACAAAAGGACCCGATAAAAAGAAAGCATCGAGTTAGAGTGTATAGCATTTAATCCCATTTTCTATGAAAATTATCATTCGTACATAAATTCGTGTTCATGTAATCTTATTAACATAATACAAGATAAATACAGACAGATCATTTACATAAAAAATGAACTTTTTCTCTCCCATTTTCATTGTCTTTTGTGTAAATATTATGTTCGAGTTTTGTAGTTTATCGCCCTCCCCCCCTCCCTTCCCCAAACCCACACACATTTCATCTCCATTCATATGCCATTGCCTGCTAGTCTCATTATCAGCATGCCTTTTGCCTATTGTTTGAATTTAATTGTTTGCAATGGAAAGTCAATATAAATTGTGAATGTGAACATTTTGTGGCCTTTGAATTTTCTTCTGTGCATTAATGTTATCATAATTTGTAATCATCATCGTGTTTGCATAAGTGGTGGTTTTGGCAGTAATTTGTGAATTTGGCGCTTCTTTGACTACGGGGTGGATATGGGGAGTGTGACTTGTCGGAAAAAGGTGGAACTCAAGAAATTTTGCTGACTTTTTGAGGTTAGAATTTATCAATTTGAGGTTAAGTTACCCATTTTGATGCTAGGCTAGCTACTTTGAGGTTAGCCCTGGCATTTTGAGGTTAAATTAGCAATTTTGAGGTTATATTAGCTATTTTGAGGTTAAATTACCTATTCTGAGGTTAGAATAGCTACATTGAGGTTAAGTTAACCATTTTGAAATTAAATAGCTACTTGGAGGTTAGACTTGTCATTTTGACGTTAGAGAAGGCATTTTGTGATTAAGTTTGCAATTTTAAGGTTATATTAGCTATTTTGAGGTTAAATTAGCCATTTTAAGGTTAGACTAGCTACTTTGAGGTTAAATTAGCCATTTTAAGGTTAGACTAGCTTCTTTGAGGTTAAGTTAACCATTTTGAAGTCAGGCTAGCTACTTTAAGGTTAGGTTAGTAATTTTGAGGTTAGGTTAGCTACGTTAAAGTTACCAAGAATTTTTTGAGGTTAAGCTGTTCATTTTGAAGTTATTCTGTGCATTTTGAGGTTAAGTCAGCCATTTTTAGGTTAGATTAGCTAATTTGAGGTTAAATTAGGAAATTTGAAGTTATATTAGTAATTTTAAAGTAGAATTGTCCATTTTAAGGTTATTAGCATTTTTGTAGGTTAAAATAAAAATTTAAAAACTAGAGTAAACTACAAATCACAACATTTTTCAATAATCCACCAGAAAATCCTTTAAAACAGCTCCCAAACCACTAATATCAAGTACATGTTCATGTATACACACATAATAATGCATGAACACATGGGATTAATAAAGATTTGTTTGCATTAGCGGTGCTCGAAGTTTACATGAAAATTATAAAATGAAATTTTGCTGTACAGCACAAAAAAAAGTCAAAGCAAGAAAAAAAATATAATTTAATTTTCTGTAAAGTTTGTTCTATCGAGACGAGGATAATATCTGTGGATTACGTCATGTGCTGTATAGCATGCAATTCTAGCATCAAGATTAAAATTTAAAAAGCACTCAACGAGATTCCACAGAGTCAATTGAATATTTTTTTTTGCAGCAGTACGATGAAGATGAGAGCAAGTGAACTGTATGGGGATTTATGGACAAGAACGAGTAGTTCAGTTGTGGACTGGCTTCTTTTTAAGCTTGTTTTTAAATTGAATTATTGGCTGAATGGGGATTTGGGTGCTGGATTGCTTTAACAAGGTTGTTTGAGGTTTTATTGATTTTTTGCGGGAACATAAAGCTGCTGAAGGTAAAATCCATCCAAGTTCATTGTTAGCTTCCTCCTCAAACCCACCACAACTGCTAAATATTCAATACAGCCTCAATAAAACTAAACCGAGCCTAATCAACCAAATCATCCATAAAACAGTCACTTGAATATCAATCAGGCACAAAAAAGACAGCAACAAAACTTTTGCTAATTCCGATTTCACTTCAACCGCATAAAACTCAACTTCAATAAAATTCGATTCAGTAAATTTTCTCGAAGAATTTATTTTCGATTTTGTTGTCACTGCGGAAAAGGTAAATGTGGAACTGAATGGCAATCGATTGTGATTGAATAAATTTTGTTCGAGGACTTTTGGGATTTTGTGTTGAGTTGATGATGCAGAATTTTTTTGGAGAGCTTTAAAAGCTCTTTTTTTGGAAGTTATTGTTAAAATTTAAATTTTTTGTTTTTTTAATTTTTTCGACAAAAAAATTATTTTTAACTTTTTTTAAGTTTTTTATAATTTTTGAAGTTTTTATGAATTTTGAAATTTGTGAATTTTTTTGAAATAATTTGAAATTTTTGAAATTTTTTGAAATTTTTGAATTTTTTTGAAATTTTTGAATTTTTTTGAAATTTTTGAATTTATTTTGAAATTTTTGAATTTTTTGAAATTTTTGAATTTTTTTGAACTTTTTGAAATTTTTTGAAATTTTTGAATTTTTTTGAATTTTTTTAATTTTTTTGAAATTTTTGAATTTATTTTGAAATTTTTGAATTTTTTTGAAATTTTCGAAATTTTTTGAATTTTTTGAAATTTTTTGAAATTTTCGAAATTTTTTGAATTTTTTGAAATTTTTTGAAATTTTTTGAAATTTTTGAATTTATTTTGAAATTTTTGAATTTTTTTGAATTTTTTGAATTTTTTGAATTAATTTTGAAATTTTTGAATTTTTTTGAAATTTTCGAAATTTTTTGAATTTTTTGAAATTTTTTGAAATTTTTGAAATTTTTGAAATTTTTTGAAATTTTTGAATTTTTTTGAAATTTTTGAAATTTTTTGAATTTTTTGAAATTTTTTGAAATTTTTGAAACATTTGACATTTTTAAATTTATCTTATTATTTCGAAATTTTATTGTCACATTAATCGATCGAAAAAGTCGAAACTGGATCTAAAAAGAATGAAACTAGACACTCAGCTGCTCCTTCTTTTTCCTTAAACATGTTCAATTTTATACGATCAAAATTGGTCAAATTAATTGTATTTATAAGGACGTTTTCCAAGCTTGACTTTAGTATTGGCACAATTGTACCCCATCCAAGGTCTCTGTTACTAATTACTAGGTTTTGAAGGTCTGTCTGGACTTCACTGTCTATTCCATAGTACTGATCGAGGAATGCTGTGCATTGGTCTGTGTTGTTTGGTGTTTGAGCTCCTGAAATGTTGATTTGCACCTTACATTAAGAATTGACTCTTAAGACTAGATTAGCGACCTAGTTTAGCTTAATATTGAATGATAAGTCATATTTACCTATTATTAGGATTAAGGAAAAAATCACAAAAATATTCAACATTTTAATATTTAAATTTAAACTTCAGTCCGTCCTCTAGGCTTCACAATCTACTCATAACTGAAAACAACTTTTGATTATACAATTTCCAAAAACTTACACGAGTTCGTGTCTATAAAATAAAGCCGTACTTAACTTTTTTTTGTCTTGTTTCACTTTTTAAAATAAAATAATTTTATGGCATTTTTTGGAAGGTAGAAGACGTAGTCCACGAGGAAGGGGTTCGTCAGTAAATAATGTATCCCAAAAATTAATTCTTAAGCAGCTTTTATTCAATATTTAAAATAAATTTGACAACACAATTTGCTGCATAATCAGCTCCTGCAATTAAGTCAGTCAGTAAACTTTCGTCATCGCCAACAAGACTCTCGTTAGCTTGTAAAATAGCTGAAAATTTCAATTTAATGATCAAAGGCAAGAAATCTGATTCAGCATTTCCAGCAATTAAATCTTTCACAAATGCTTGATTTGTTGATGAAATGTTTTTGTATTTATTGACGAAAATTGAGCATTCTTCGGGCTTGTTGGTTATGGCTGATGGATAAAATTGAAAAATTCCATTTAAATCCATAATGGGTTCCTTAAAACATCAATTATCCATTAATTTACCTGCTATAAAGTTCAAAAAACTGCAAAAAATCACAAAAATTATAAAAAAATTTTTAAACATTTTATTTTTGATCCTTTTGAGCTCTAACTGTCCTGACTTCCTAAAAGTAATAAGATCATCTCTAAAATATCTCATTTGTTTTCGGTTTAAATAAATACACACGTGTCCCTAACACACGTTTTTGACTCATAAAAGTTGCAAATGTCAATAAAAAAAATTTTATGGTTGAAATACTCGATAAACTTTGTTACTTTAACTGCAAAGTCGTGCAAAAGTGTTTGATGTTTGATATTTAACTGGACTAGTTTAGGTTTTATGGCTTTAATGTCCATGGATGTAATTAGGAAGAAATAAAAGGTTCAACCAAGAATTAAGGTTATTCAAAATGGTTTAATAGGCTCTGAGGGATTTAAAGATGGTAATATGGGTTTCAGATGGTCCAAGAGGATCCAAAAAGGATCAAAAAAGGATTCAGAAAGGTTAGAAATGATCCAATTAGGTTTCAGAGAGTTCAAGAGAGTTCAAGAGGATCTTTAGGCATTTTTGAAGTTTCAAAACTATTAAAACAAGGTCATTTAGGTGTAAGAGGGTTAAAAAGGGTTAAAAAGGGTTAAAAAGGGTTCAAGAGGGTTTAAATTGGCTTCTAGAGGATCTAAAGAAGTCCAAGATTGTCATTTTGGTACCTTCCTTAAAAATACACAACTAAGCTAAAGCCTACATCAGTGTTGTCCAAGCTGTGTGCCGCGGCACACTAGTGTGCTGTAGAATTTTTTAAAATGACTCGAATGCTGTGCACGACTTCAGTCATGGCTTACCCCTAAGGTGTGCCGTGGCTCAAAAAGTTTGGACAACACTGGCCTATAAACTTAAAATAGACTTGATTCTGGGACAAAGAGTGCCACAGTTAACATCTCAAGTCCTAATCCCAGTCACACTCTAGAATTGCTTTGACCTTTCTCAACTTTTCATTCAAATTTATTCTCAACCTCTTCACTCCATCTTCAATCATTAATCCCCAAATCCCTAAACCTAAAGTTTCCAACACAACAGCCTGCAAAAATTGATTTTCATGTCTCAAACTTTACTTATTTCTTAATAAAAAAATTTAATTACAGCAACAAAAAAAGAAGTTTTCAAACATTTGCTAAATTTTCAAAAGCTATTAAAATTAATTTCAAAGCACATTAAAAGCACAAGTGATCAGTAACCTTAAGTAGAGGAGGAACAACAACAACAAAATTATACAATAGCAATAATGGATGAGATTTTTTTTGGAGGGGAGCGAAAAAGGAACTGAAAAAGAAGAAGAAAATTTAACAAGAAAATTAAAAGCATTTTCCTGCTCATTACATGAGGAAAAAAAGATAAAAAGATAAAAATGAAGACGAAGAATTTTATTATCAATGATGGCTGTTGTTGTTGCCGGATCTGATTAGTCTGATGGATGAAAAGAGGATTTAAGATAAATTTTGCTCAGGAATTTTTGAATTTTAGCATTTTAGTAAAAGTTCTAAACTTTTAGTACAAGTTTTATTATGCTAAACTCAACTTTAAGTACAAGTTCTAAATCTATTGCATCAACTTTTAGTACAGGTACTAAAAATCTAACCTCAATTTTTAGAACAAGTTCTAAAATTCTAACCTTAATGTTTAGTACAAGTTCTAAAATTCTAAACTCAACTTTTAGTACATGTTCTAAAATTCTAACCTCAACTTTTAGTCCAAGTTCTAAAATTCTAACCTCAATGTTTAGTACAAGTTCTAAAATTCTAACCTCAATGTTTGGTACAAGTTCAAAAATTCCAACCATATTTTTTAGTACAAGTTCTAAAATTTAGTACAAAAAATCTTAACCATCCAAATCCGTCCCTTGAACCCCAAAAGCATCTCCAAACAAAGAAAACTTTTCCATTCTTCCTCTTTGCCATTCTTCTTCATCCTTTTAACTTCCCCTTCTTTTCCTTCCTCGTCTTTCATTCACCAATTCCATTCAAAATCTTCATTTTAATTTCCATTTGTGACAAACTTGTTGACAGCAAACATACACAAAAAGAAAAAAAAAACTTTATTTTCGCACTCATTTTCATTATCACCGAATTTTTTTCCAATTAAGTTCTCAACTCTGTGCGTGTTTGTCATTAAAATGCTGATAAAAACACAAGTAACAAATTAAATAATGACTTGCTTTTGGGTGAGCGGATTTTGGTGGGAAAAAGGTAAGGTTGAGATGTTTTGGATCAGTTTTGAGTCGTTGTTTCAGTTTTGAGTCGTTGCTTCAGTTTTGAGTCGTTGCTTTAGTTTTAACTCGTTGAACTTTCGTTGACTTTCGTTGAAGTTTTGAACCGTAGCTTCAAAATGCGCCTCATTCACCAAACCGTCAAGCCATCATTTAATAAAATCTCATTCAAATTCTTTTAAAAATCATTTCATTTTCATTATCATCTGCTTAACATAAACATTAAACGTGATTACCTGTTGAGTGAATTAAAGCACTCGAAAATAAACTCCAACTCTTCAAGTGTGAGATGCAAAGAAATCCCCACCCAAAATGTGAAATAAAAAGGAGGAAATGGGAGTCATTAGAACATAATTGAAAGGTTGTATTTTACTCCTTTTTCTTCATTCGCAATTCGGTTTAATTACAGTCGAAATTGAAATGAATGGAATTGTAACAGATTGCTAATTGCTATGCAATAAAACCGACACTCAGCATATGATGAAAATTTTAACGAACAGTCTCGAGTGATGGATTTTGGTTTTAATGGTTTACGAGGTAAGTAAATTGAGATTTTGTGGAATAATGCAGAAGGTGAGGCTTGATGAGAACTTTAATGTTGAGGCAACTCTAGTGTGAAGACACCTGAAACTCAGAACTCTAGCGTGAATCCACCTGAAACTCATAAATCTAGAGTGAAGGCACTTGAAACTCAGAACTCTATTGTGAAGGCACCTGAAACTCAGAACTCTAGCGTGAAGGCACCTGAAACTCATAAATCTAGAGTGAAGGCACTTGAAACTCAGAACTCTAGTGTGAAGGCACCTGAACCTCAGAACTCTAGTGTGAAGCCACCTGAAACTCATAAATCTAGTGTGAAGGCACCTGAAACTCAGAACTCTAGTGTGAAGACACCTTTACCTTAAAACTCTAGTGTAAAGACACCTGAACCTCAAAACTCTAGTGTGTAGGCACCTTAACCTAAAGATCTAGAGTACAATGAAAATCTTCACCTCAAGAAAGTAGAAAAATTTGAAAAAAATCCAAGCAATATAAGAAAATTCAATTGAAACCTCAATCAACAATTCAATAAAGCCATCATCGCAAAATAAAATAGAAAAATAAACTTCTGCTCGAAGCCAAACGGTGAAAAATCTCAACAACAAAAAAGTAAGCAAGGAGAGAAAAAATCCAATAAATAAAATTTCATAGAAACACGAAAAAATACACAATAGATCTCATCATGAGGAAGAATGTGAAGTAAGCAATGAGGGAAAAACAACAATGACGACATTATGATACACACAATAAACCACTCAATAAAGTACACCAGACAGCAGACATCGTCGATATGGTTTATTTTCTTCATTCTCTTCAACACGAAAATTTTTCGATGCTGCTGCTGCTTTTGTTGTTGTTGTGTGCTGAAGATGAAGTAAAAATCGCTCTCAATGAGAAAATTTTCATGTCACATCTTCATTTCATATCTGCACGCTTGTACTTGTACTCATACTTGTGGTGTATGGTGGGGACATGCGATGCTATCTGTGTACGAATTTGCTCAAAATGCTTATTTTATGATTTTTTTTTGTCCTGAAATAAATTAAAGAAATTTTTTAAATAAAAACAAAAAATGAATTCAATCACCATTATTAAAATCATGGACCCCCATCAAAATTTGAGAAAAACTGCATCAAATTTTCAACTTTTATGGTTGGTTAAGCTTACATGAAGTGATGGGTTACTGAAATATTCATTATTGTGGAAATTTGAAATAAACTTTAATTTAACCTCAAAACTTTAAACGTAGGACCCCCAAACAATCTTGTTACCTTCATCCTAAAATTAGTAAGTTGACAAAATTTTCACTTATTTTTATTTAAGTAAGCAAAATCAAAAAGATTTGAAAAACTACTCCGTGCGCTATTTTAGGAAGACTGTAATGTCTCTTCAAAAATATAGCGCACATTTTATTAAAATTTGAGCTACAACATTGAAGAATGAGACAAGCAAGGAAAAAAAAGATTATAAAAAATGAACTGACAAGCATTTAATTCACATTTTAATTTATTGAGATAGATTTTCGTGTTTTTTTTTCTTTCTTTTTCTTCATTTTTCTGATTTTGTTTTCTAGTCTGCGATGATGAAGTCTACATAAAGCTCATGCGATAAATTTAAATCATCTGCGACGTTCATGGATTGAATTTGAATGTTGGGAAAATTTGTTTCTTGTTTTTGGTTTGAGTGAAGTGAAAAATTGTTTGAAATCGACTTAATTTTACTGGATTTAAAATTTTATTTTTTTTAAAGATTATATTAGATTTTATGGTCTTCAATGTATCAATTGTCATGAACTTACTTTTGAATTTAACAAAAAAAAATATTTCGCTTAAAAAATCCAATTATCTATTCCATCCACTAAATCACATTTATTGTCACATTTAAGGTTCCATTTCAGCACCTAAAAATCTAATATTTTTTTTTATTTCACGACACTCGTTTTTCCTACAAATTTCCTTTCTCATTTCCACCTGGATATATTTCTTAATTTAAATTTTTATGATACAAGCAATAATTTTGAGATAATTTATGTCATTTGCACCCCTCTTAAATGTTTTTGTCATATCCAGTTGGAGTTTGCTGTTGTTTTAAAATCTGACGAGGGGTGTGTTGCTGCTGGTTTTGGAGTTCTCCTATCCCATACCCTATCCCATACCCTATCCCATACCCTATCCCATACCCTATCCCATACCCTATCCCATACCCTATCCCATACCCTATCCCATACCCTATCCCATACCCTATCCCATACCCTATCCCATACCCTATCCCATACCCTATCCCATACCCTATCCCATACCCTATCCCATACCCTATCCCATACCCTATCCCATACCCTATCCCATACCCTATCCCATACCCTATCCCATACCCTATCCCATACCCTATCCCATACCCTATCCCATACCCTATCCCATACCCTATCCCATACCCTATCCCATACCCTATCCCATACCCTATCCCATACCCTATCCCATACCCTATCCCATACCCTATCCCATACCCTATCCCATACCCTATCCCATACCCTATCCCATACCCTATCCCATACCCTATCCCATACCCTATCCCATACCCTATCCCATACCCTATCCCATACCCTATCCCATACCCTATCCCATACCCTATCCCATACCCTATCCCATACCCTATCCCATACCCTATCCCATACCCTATCCTATACCCTATCCCATACCCTATCCCATACCCTATCCCATACCCTATCCCATACCCTATCCCATACCCTATCCCCTCCTCATCTCGACTCCTTTTTTTGTTGCTGTTTAAATTGTTGACAATAAAGGAAGCAGTAAAATGTTCTTTTTTTCTCATTTCTCCATCATCTTGTGCATTGCCACAAGTGGAGTTGATGTGAGTATGAATGAGAGAGACAAAAGCAAATTGTGGGCAATGATAATATCATAAATCAAATGATGCGCAGTTTTTCATAACAATAAAATAAATATGAAATATATTTTTGACTATGATGGGATGTGGGGTTTAGAGGGAGGATGGGGATATGGAATGAATTTTTGGGAAAGTTTGGTTAGGCCTTAGGAAGGTACAAGGCGCATTTAGTAGACATGAACCAAAATTCTTTATTAAAAATTGCAAAAAATTGTGAAATGATCAAAAATATTTAAAAATTTCATTAATGACAATCTGACCCCCAAACCCTCTCCGAAATTCCTTCCTAAAATATCCTAAACCACCGAAACGCAAAAGATAATTTTAATGTCATCCCAAAAAATGGTTTTTGCTGTCGTCAGATCTCCTTTGGGAGATTCGCTTGAAGCTCCTTTGTGTCACTTTATGCTTTATATCTCCATCTCTCTCTCCCTTTTTCGTATGTTTCCTTCACTTTTGACCTGCTGTGCTTTTGTTTTCATTTGTTTATGTCGCACAAAATACAATTACAGCTCACTGCTGATGACATTATGATTCTAATTTATCGCTTTCATAACTCTCAGGTGGTGAGTCAATGCTTTCGGGCAGTCTTTTAGCTGGTATTTTGAGTGGTGATGGTGAGTTTTGATGCTAAGTTATTATTATTATTATTATTTGTTTATTCAGATTCTTTAGTCTGTCTTAAATTTATTACCTTTGGTTGAATTTTTTTTCAGCTGAGCTTCTCTTAAGCTGAGCGTCACTTAAGCTGAGCATCTCTAAAGCTTCACACTTCTTTGTCTGAGCGTTTCTTCAGCTAAGGGTTTTTTCAGCTAAGCGTTTCTTCAGCTAAGCGTTTCTTTAGCTGAGCGTTTCTTCAGCTGAGCGTTTCTTCAGCTGAGCGTTTCTTCAGCTGAGCGTTTTTTCAGCTGAGCATCACTTAAGCTGAGCATCTCTAAAGCTTCACACTTCTTTGTCTGAGCGTTTCTTCAGCTAAGGGTTTTTTCAGCTAAGCGTTTCTTCAGCTAAGCGTTTCTTTAGCTGAGCGTTTCTTCAGCTGAGCGTTTCTTCAGCTGAGCGTTTCTTCAGCTGAGCGTTTTTTCAGCTGAGCTTCTCTTAACCTGAGCATCACTTAAGCTGAGCATCTCTAAAGCTTAACACTTCTTTGCCTGAGCGTTTCTTCAGCTGAGCGTTTCTTCAGATGAGCGTTTCTTCAGCTGAGCGTTTTTTCAGCTGAGCTTCTGTAAATCTGATCATTTCTTTAGCTGAGCTTCTGTAAAGCTGAGCGTCTTTGCAGCTGAGTGTTTCAAATGCTGACCTAGCTACTAATGCGTCCCATTCAATCAACAAACCATTTCAACTCACCAACTGCCAAATCCTTCCACGTATTTTATTTAATTTCTTCTTTTTTCATCTCATGTGTGGGTTTTTAATGTTTTTCAACGTCAGACATCATGGATGTGAAGTAGTGAGCAGGAGTAACAAACAAGAAGAAGAAGGTGGGAGTAAAAAAAATTGTCAGAAGAGTGATGTATGGAACATAAAGTGAAAGTAGCATCTGCAGTACGGTTGAAAGGTAATTAAGTTCATGAGATGAATTTGTTGTGCTTTATGGTCAGTTTTGTGTGGTTTATGCTGATGACATTGGATCGTTGATGTGCTTTGATGAGGTTAGAGCTTCAACTAGCAGTTGTGAAGTGATCAGAATCTACAGTTTGATCAAAAAAACGAAAATAATTAGCACTTTTGGATAACAAAATTGATTTCCGGATGTAATTTGAGTCATTATTGAGGAAAACATTGCTAATCTGTTGATTATTCAGCACAATGAAGTTCATTCAAGTCATAATATTGTTTATTTTATTTATTTCTCAATCAGAATGCGAGAAGAGATTTCTGAAGATTGACAATTGTACAGCAAATAGTAAAGTAGCCAGGATTGATCTTTGTGAGATCAGCGATGGGAAATTGAGCGCAAATTTTGATATTATAAAACCATTGGATGAGTTCTTGGTGAGTTATAGTTTACAGCTAGTTCATTAGCTAATTTGCAATTTAATTTCAGATCGAGTTTTGTTTCTTCCGATCAATAAATAAAGTTTTCAACCAACTCGGAAAATGTCAATTTATGAATCATTGTGACTTCATGTCAGCTCAAAAACAAAGCGACTTAAGTCCAATGTTAAGGAAGTTTGTGAGTTTTTGGAAGTTTGCTGGAATTGAAGGCGTTAAAATTTCGTGTCCTGTAATTGGAAATATAACATTTAACAAGTTGGATATAAGCAACAATTTTATGTCATTTATTCCAAAAGGAATTATGAAATTGGTCACTAAAACTTACAACAATCAGGATGGAATGATTTTTATTTTGTCTGCTGTATTTGTCATTAATTAGGAAGAAATAAATTAAAATTGTGATTTTTTTTCGACTTCATTTAAAATTTATCAGCCAATTATATAAATTTGCAACCTTCCAGAAGCAATTTGGCATCTATTTTGCAAAATTCAGTCATCAATCACAAAACCAACCTCATGAAGCTGCTTCTGACATTAATTCTTTGTCTTAATTTGACTTTCCAGTCAAAGTGTGAAAGAAAATTTGTAAAAATTGAAAATTGCACATCAAATGAAAAAATTACTCGAGTTGAGCAGTGTGAAATTCACGATGGAAAGTTTAGCGGAGTCTTTAATATTTTGGAATCATTGGATGAGTTTATGGTTAGCATTTTTGTCAAAGCTTGGCCATCTTGAGTCGAGCTAATTTTGGTCATCTCGGGTCAAGCTAATTTTGGTCATCTCGGGTCAAGCTAAGATTGGTCATCTCGGGTTGAGCTCAGTTTAATCATCTCGGTTTGAGCTATGTTTGGTCATCTCGGGTCAAGTTAAGTTTTGTCATCTTAGAGTGAGCTATGTTTTGTCATCTCGGGTCAGTCTAAGATTGGTCATCTCGGGTTGAGCTCAGTTTAATCATCTCGGTTTGAGCTAAGTTTGGTCATCTCGGGTCAAGTTAAGTTTTGTCATCTTAGAGTGAGCTATGTTTTGTCATCTCGGGTCAATCTAAGATTGGTCATCTCGGGTTGAGCTCAGTTTAATCATCTCGGTTTGAGCTAAGTTTGGTCATCTCGGGTCAAGTTAAGTTTTGTCATCTTAGAGTGAGCTATGTTTTGTCATCTCGGGTCAATCTAAGATAGGTCATCTCGGGTTGAGCTTAGTTTAATCATCTCGGTTCGAGCTAAGATTGGTCATCTCATATTGAGCTAAGTTTTGTCATCTCGAGTCAAGCTAAGTTTGGTCATCTCAGATTGAGCTAAGTTTGGTAATCTCAGGTCAAACTTAGTTTGGTCATCTTTATCGAGCTTGACTTAAACTGCAAAATCATTTCAATAATAAAAAATCTTTTTCCAGCTAGAAATTTGTTTCTTCAAATCTGAAGACAAAACATTTCGTTCCCTCGGAAAATGCCAAAACTTCAATCACTGTGAGTTCGTAAAGAATCAAAAGCAGTACATTGCAAGTCCACTGGCGAGAAAGTTGATTGCATTTTGGAGATATTCTGATGTTTCTGGATTCTTTAAGCCATGTCCAATAATTGGAAGGATTGAGATGCTCGGTGTGGATTTGAATGTTGATTTTATGACATTCTTTCCGAAAGGAATCTTGAAGGCTACTAAGAGGGCTTATAATAAGCAGTATGACTTGATATTTCTTGTGTCTACTGTGTTTGCTAATAATTAGGATGGGTTTTGGGGGATGATTAAGGTTTGCAAGGATGTAGCTGAAGGATTGGTTCTTCATAGCTGAATAAAGATCAAAGCAGATGCTTTAAACCAATAAACACAGCAATAACAAAGAACTGTTATTAAATATGATTAAAATTATACAAAAAAAGTCAAAGACTGTATAAAAAATTCATAATTCCATTTTCAGCAACCCCTCCCCCCAAAAATCCTTTTCCATATTTCCCACCAATTATGCAAATACCTCAAAATCATAAAAAACAGAAAACTTTTTTCATCTTTCCATCCACAAATCCTATTAATTCAATTAACCTTCTTTTGTGTACACAAATAACAAAAAAAAAACAAAAGACAACAAACAGGCTTTGTTCATCCATCGATGGAATCTCTTCTTATTGTTCCTATTAACATCGAAGCAAGTACTTACGTGGATGATGAGGAATTTCCAATTCAAATTGAAATTTATGCAAGAAAAAGTTTTGTAATTTATTCATGCTGAGAAGAATGCGAAGAGACAGCTTTTCATCAAATATCGAATTTTTAGAGGATAAAAAGTGAAAAGTTTTTTATTTTCTGTCGCTTTTCGCGTTGATCGAGATTTAGCAAGGGGGGATGGTTTGTTACTTTAGGTTTTGGTGGGTTTAAAGCGCATTTTTCGGCCAGAAAGGTTAATTGTTGATGATTAAAGAGCTTTGGACAACTTTAATGTGAAAATGAGAATATTGAGGTTCTTATAAGAACAAATTAGTAGTTCAAAGAAGCTTGGAGGGTCCATAGTTGAGCTAGGGGTTATGAAAGGGACTAAGCGGATCAAAATTGAGTTTAAAGAATCTCTGAAGCAGCTAGGATTGTCAACGCAACTCAAAAAGTGTTGAAATAAATCAACTAACCTTAATCCAACTTCCCAACAGACGCACAAACAATCCGAGCCCACTCCCCATCAATCAAATCCCCACGCCCATCTCTAATCTCCAGTCTCAGACTTTACATAAAAAATCCAATTTACGATCCTTCGATTGCGGATTGAAAAAGTAAAGAAAAGCGACACAAAAAAGAAAACTTTTTTATCGCAAATTTTTTTTTCCTTTTCATTTTTTTTATTGTTTTCGCATTTTTTTCAACTTCATCGCTTTTTGTTTGATTTTCTAATTTTCTCATTTCCCGCTTTTCTTCATCAGCTTTGTGCTTTTTTTTTTGTTTTGAGAAAAGAGGAGGAATTTTTCGCTCATAGACGTGTTTTGTAGTGTCGTGGGTGCTCAATCGCGTGTTTGTCAATTCAATTTACGCATGAAGGAACTTTATGAGCGCAAATAAAGAGGAAGGACTGATTTTTCTTTGTTTTAATGTTGACATTGTTTGAAGATTTGATGAATTTAGGTTCAAATATGCAAATGTCTGCGTTAAAGATGCGAACTTTTAGTTCAAAGATGCGAAATTTTTTGTCAAAGATGCGAAATTTTTTGTCTAAGATGCGAAATTTTGGTTCAAAGATGGGAACTTTTCCTGCGAAGATGCGAAGTTTTGTCTTAAGGATGCAGACTTTCAAAGATGCGAGTTTTTGCTTCAAAGATGCGAACTTTTGGTTTTAAGATGCGAAATTTTTTGTCAAAGATGCGAAATTTTTTGTCAAAGATGCGAACTTTTGGTTCAAAGATGGGAACTTTTCCTGCGAAGATGCGAAGTTTTGTCTGAAGGATGTAGATCTTCAAAGATGCAAATTTTCGCTTCAAAGATGCAAACTTCTTTTGTCAAAGATGCGAATTAATGTCTTAAGAGTGCAGACTTTTGCTACATATTAAATTTTTGCTTCAAAGATGCGAACTTTTCTTGCTAAAATGGGAAGTTTTGTCTTAAAGATGCGAGCTTTTGCCTCAAAGATGCGAACTCTTGGTTCAAAGATGCGAGCTCTTGGTTCAAAGATGCAAACTCTTGGTTTAAAGATGCGAACTCTTGGTTCAAAGATGCAAACTCTTGGTTCAAAGATACGAACTCTTGGTTCAAAGATGCGAACTCTTGGTTCAAAGATGCGAACTCCTGGTTCAAAGATGCAAACTCTTGGTTCAAAGATACGAACTCTTGGTTCAAAGATGCGAACTCTTGGTTCAAAGATGCGAACTCTTGGTTCAAAGATGCAAACTCTTGGTTCAAAGATACGAACTCTTGGTTCAAAGATGCGAACTCTTGGTTCAAAGATGCGAACTTTTTGTTTCAATTTGGACGAACTTCACTCAAGTAATGAATATTTTTTGGTGATACATCAAACATCTTTAAACATAATGAAGAACTTTTTATTTTATTTTGAATGACGGCATTTTGGTGATGGAATTTTCAACTGTTTTTATTAATTTATTGATTAAAATTCCATTAAAATTGAAAATTAAACGAATGTTGGAAATATAAGTTAGACATCAAATCTTTATTAAGCATAAAAATATACAATTTGACTTCAAAGTATTGAAAATTTAGAATAAAAAAAATGAAATTTCACCAAATTTTAATTTTTGTTGAAAAACTTTTCCAGTTTTTCCTCTAAAATATCCTCAAATTTTTTCATCAATCGCTTTTCAATGCTTTTGACTTTCTCATCAAAATTAATTGACATTTTATGAAATTTGGTGGTCAGTTCCTTATTGTTTTTCTCAAGCTTTTCATCCATTTTACCCTCAAGGTCCTTAAATTGATCCCCAAAGCTTTCAACCTTGTCACTTATTGCCGAGAACTTGTCGTCTAAATTGTCATTTCTGTTCACATTCAAGTCATTCAAGGACTTCTTAATCTCATTTTGGACAATCCGGATTTTAACAAATGAGTCTTTAGCCTCAGTTTGTAACTTCGTATGGTCACTGAGTGTAGCTAAAATGTCACTTACAGACAGTTTTGCTTCGTCTCGAGTTGATTTTATGGCACTTTTGAGTTCATTGTACTTTAAGGTTATGTCGCTAAAGGATGCATCTTGAGAGGTTTTGAGGATATGTTGGGTCAGTTTGAGGTCCCTTATAGCAGCAAATGTGTCAGCAAGTGAGCTACTTAGCTTACCAACCGCGTCATTTTGCAACACTTTGATGTCACTAAGCACAGCTCCATGATCCTTTTGTATCTTGTCAAACTTGGTATTTAGTGCATTAGTGGAACTTACTTGATCAGATTTAAAGTCACTGACCTTAGCCTCAACCTGAGTAATCTTATTGATAACATTTGAAGCGGAATCAGTCAAAATATTTTGAAATTTGGTGCATTCAGATTCTTGGCTATTTATTGAGGTCCTGATGCCACTTAAGGCATTTTGGATTAAACTTTTGACCTCATTTATAGGAGCTGTAAGACTACATTGAGAAGCTTTGAAGTCTTTAAAGTTAAAAATGATCTTTTTTAATTCGTCTACATTTTTAGACATTTCTTCAACTTTCGAGTCTAAAGTTCCAATATTTTCCAATTGACGGCAATTTGAGCAACTTTTTGATTGCTTTAAATGTTCAAATTTATAATTTAATGGGCGAAATTTCGAAAATTTAGATCTTTTGAAACTTGTCTCAAAAACTTGAATCTTTAAGGTTATGGCTTCTAAATTTAAGGTTTTTGACTCAACTTCAAGATTTTTAAGTTGACTGTCGATGGATAAAAATTTGGAATGTGAGCATTTGGATTTGATAACTTTTATGGCTTCTTGGACTTTATCTTTTGAGTCGTTAATACTCTGAGCAATGCAAGGAACATAAGAAAGCCAAAAATGTTTCAAATTAGTTAAATGATCAAAGACATTCGGATCAATGTGAATGATTTTACTTTCTTGAATTCCTAAAAGTATCAAATTAGGATTAAAGTCGAAAATTCCTTCCTCAATCACCTCAATATCATTGTTAAGCAGATTAAAGTAAACTAAATTAGGAAAAACTATCAAATCTGACTGATGAATTTCTTTCAATTGACACGATTGAATCCAAATTAACTTAAGATTTTTAAATATTTCTTCTAAACCTTTTGGGAAGACCTGGATTGTTTTGCTGTTTATATGAAAGCCAAGCACATCGTCATTACTTTTTGTAAGTTCATGTGTTCCACTAATTCTGCTGATTTCTGCTGATTCTTCTGTTAAAATGTTTGGATTGTTCTTGACTAAGCATTGATATATGAAACCTACAACAGAGTAGCTTTTAAGTAGAAAGCTACATTCAATATTAGTCGATGTCGATAATCCAGTAAATGTTGAGATAAGGCAAATGACAAGGCTTAATCGACAAATAAAATAAAAATTTATGTCATGATTTGCTAAAATTTTTTTTTTCTAGAATTCTCAACTTACATAATAAATTTAATCATTTTCACTCAAACTTTATTAAGAAATTATTGATGATATTTATTTTAATCTATCAAAGACAACGACTGACAACAAAATGATCTCATAAAAAAATAAAGTCTGAATTTTAATAAAATGTGTCAAACTTTTTCATAAATAAATCTCATGAACTGTCTTGACATTCGATTAAAATTGTAAGAATTTCGCCATACTTGATGAGTGGCGTAATTTTTTAACAACAACAACAGCTGTACTCTTATCATTTTCATAAAATAAATCATGTCTTACGTCTGCTGATGTGATAAGAAGTATTTATTGCAAGTCAGTATCACGAAAGGCACACGACGTAAAATTGGAATCACGAAGACACGAACACGGCACTACACCGTAATTCACAAAATACAGCTTGTTCATGCCGTCCTGTACGTAAGATTCAAGTATACAATCCGAAAGCGTAGCCAAGAGGATTTTTCTTTGGAGGAACTATGAATCATAGTTTGAGAACCGCTAACCTAAAACACCTCAAGTTACAAACTGAGCAACACTGCGCTTAACTTTAAGTATCAATTAGGCTGAATTGCTTCCGGTTAAATAAAAAAAAAAAATTTAATTTTAAATTATTGAGCTGGTCTGTAAATTACCTTTAGCACTTTAAACTAAATGATTTGGTGGTTTCTTGACATACTTAAGTGCTGGACACCATGAAGCTTTACGTTGAGTTGTTCTTAACAATTCTTCAAATTTTCAATTCAAATTGCGAGAAAAAGTTCCTAAAAATGGACAAATGTGAAGTAAATGAGAAGTTTGCAGTTAATGAACGGTGTAAAGTCATTGATGGAAGAAGCTTTGTTGTTTATAAAATAATTGAGCCGATTAATGAATGTTTGGTGAGGAAATCAATGCTTAGGATCCAAAATCTTCAAACTTTCTCCAATAATTCCATTTCTAGGTCGAAGTCTGCATGCAAAAGTCAAAAAACTCAAAATTTCATCAAGTCGGAAAATGTCAAAACTTCAATCGCTGTGAATATTCAAAACCAGGAGCAAGCCTCAATCAAATCACAAAAAGAATCGCCAACTTTTTCAAAATTTCAGGCATTCAAGGATCATTGTCATCATGTCCAATAATTGGATATCAGAAATTTTTGAATATTTCAATTGGATTTTCAAATTTATTGACATTTTTGCCGAGAGGAGTTTTGAGGATTAGTGTGAGGAACTACAATATGAAGGATGGACTGTTGTTTGAGACGTCGGCTGTAATTTTGAATAAATGAAATTGAATCACTTGCCCGAATTTCACAAGTCGGTTAATCGATCAGAAATCTGGCATCAAGCCGTATGTCTCTAGCAGGGTGATGGATTTAAATCGAAGTCAGCACAATACAAGAGTCATGCTAGTTAAGAGCCGGATATCAATTCGATTAATCGGCTTATGTTTTTCAGGTTATGACGTCCGAGATTTAGAAGGGGAAGGGGGGTTTAGGATTTTGTGGCAGATCAAACAAAGGAAATTATTTGCACATCAATTTTTAACAGGGTTAAGGATGAAGGGGGTAAAAAGAGCAGGAGGTAAGGGGGCGGGGGTAACAATCATGTTTTTGGAGAATATTTGGATTGATAGTTCAGGATTTCTTGATTTGATTTGGTGTTTTGTTCTAGAAAAATCGAGGACCCCCCTAAGTATAAACTTGTGCTTTTATTGCTTTTAGCTTTCTTTTATTGGTAATTTTAATAATAAAAATAAAATGTATTATAAAAGATATATTTAATATGATTAAAGAATAATTGAGTTCAAAGTCAAGTTGCAAGAGGTGAGTGGGCGGGTTGTATATTCAACTTGATTGGATTTTTTGAGAAATAAAAATCCCAAAATCATTACTAAGTTTTTGGATTAAAAAAAAAATAATACCCTCGTTCCCCCACCCTTGCTTGATGATTTTCAGGTTCATTTCCTAACAGATTCTTGAATCTCTTTCAAAACCTCCAAAATGCTCCTAATTGAAGACTCAGTAAAATTCTTGTATTCATCAAAGTTCGTTTTCAGGTCACTAAGAGATGACTGAAGTGAATCTTGCGAGTATTTGATTGACTTTAATGAATCTTCAAACTGTTTTTGGTTCTCTCGAACTTCACCGACCTCACTGATAATTTCATTTAATGGAGAATTTTGATTAGCATTAAAAAATAAAAGTTCGTCAACTTTAGAGTTTAACTTTTCATTGGAAACATCGGTCATGTCTTGGATTAGTTTCATCTGATTCTGTATCAAATTGAGAGTATCTTCATCATTATTTAATTTGGTTTTTTGCTGTTCAGAATTTGTGCTTTTTGTTATTTTATTTGAGGTTAAGTCAACCATTTCTTGTGAGTAAATCTGTCCATCTGATGATTTTGATGTTGCAATTGCATTTATTAAACGATGTCTTACACCAGTTCCAGATGCAGGAGCTTGATCATAAAAGACTTTAGAACTTAATTTTCCAATGGAAGAAGCAGTGGAAATTTTGAGCATTTTTATGCGCTTTTGAATTGACTTTTTGGTAAAAATAATCAATGAAATTACAATTATTAAAAGAAATAATGTTAAAGCTAACAATAAGATTAAAATTGGGACACTTTGGTCATATAGAGTTTCGGTTATTTTAGTCAAAGTTACATAAAAGTTACTAAAATTATTACTTGACAATTTAGTCCGATTTTGAAGCAACTCAAAAGTACAAATAATGTCATTTTTTTTCAATTTGGACTCTTGAATGTGCTCATTTAGCTTTTCTGCTATTTTATTTAATGATGAAAGAACCAATTTTTGTGAAACATCAAAATTATCTCTGAAGGAAGACTTAATTAAATCTTGGAACAACTTCAGTTGATCGCTGTGTTTTCTTTGCTCAGATTGAAGTGTCTTAAAAGTCACTTGAACCTGATTTTGGAATATTTTAAATGCATCGTCATGTTTATTTACATTTTCTCCAATTTGATTGACCAAACCAGCTAGTTTAGCTTGAGCTACTTTATAATCATCTCTGTGACTATCGAAAGATGATTTTACAGATTCTTGAGTCAGCTTTAAACCTAAAATTGCATGATTTATTGTTGATTGTATTTGATTAGCTTTAGAATTCAATTTATCGATTGAATCAACTGAAGCCTTTTGTGACTGTTTGATTTGATCTAACTGCTTCATTTCTTCAGACTCGAATGATTTAAATGACATTTGGACATCAATTTGGAATATATTTGACACATTGTTCACTTTTTGATTCGATTGATTAAGCAACCCAGTCTTGATTTCAGATAGCAAATTGAAATTAACTTTTTGGTCATTTTTTAATGATTTGACATCGTTTTGAGAAGTTGAGGAACTTCCACTTCCTAAAACACCACCAAAAAGTCCACCTATTAAGCCACCTAATAGACCACCGGCTGCACCAATTACAGTACCAAGTATACCGACTCCAGATGCAGTAACTTTAGCAACATTACCAACTATATCAGCTGTAGCTCCTGCCACTGAAGCTACATCCGCAACGATTGAATCTTTTTTAATTGAATTTAACATGCTTTTTATCTCAATTTGATTAGTTTTTGACTCTTGCTTATGATTTTTTAAAATTTCACTTAATTTGGTCATCGACACTTTAAGTTCATCTTGTGCCAAACGACAGTCATTTTTAAATGAATTTAATGATGATTTAATAGATTCTTGAGATGATTTGAGGTTGTCGAGGGATTTAATTGTGTCATTTTGTAAGGCACTGATCTTTGTTATAGCTTCTTTGGTGTCATTATGCATTAACATTATGGATTCTTGAGTTGTTTTTAAGTTTGCATTGACTGATATAAGATTAACTTTAATGCCCCCAATAGAATTTATTGCATTATTTAATGAATAACTAAGTTGCATGCTTGTGATTTTAATCTGACTGACTTTAGATTCGAGCTCATTAATGGAAACAGCTTGTGATTTATGCTGACCTTTAGCTTCAAGTTGTTCAATAGTTTTATTATATAATTCTTGAAATTCATTGCGATTGATTTTTAACTTATTGAGAATATTAAAAAAATCATTAAAAAACGAGGCTTGATCTTCAATTTGATCCTTTATGTCCTCAAAGCTAGCAATTCTTGTGTCCATAGATTCAAGTTTAGCCATTTGTCGACAATTTGAACAAATATTTAATTTAACTTTTTCAAATCGCTTTTTTAACTGATTTTTTATAAATGTTTTTGAATTTTCAAATTTTTTTTCAAATTCTTGCAGTTTTGAGCTTAAATTTGTAGAATTTAAAGTTTTTGACTCAATTTCAAGTCTTTTAAGTTGGCTTTCAAGTTGAGTTTTAAGGTAAAAAATTTCGGAATCTGAGCAGTTGGATTTGACAGTCTTTATAGCTTCTAGAACTTTTTGTCTTGAATTATCAATTTGCTGATGAACGCAAGGAACATTAATCCAAAAATATTTTAATTGGCTTAAATGATCAAAAACATTTGGGTCTATATGAATAATCTTAGATTCATAAAAACATAATAATTCTAAATTAGGATTAAAATCAAACAGACCTTCTTCAATCACTTCAATTCCATTAAAAATTAATGAAAAATAAAATAAATCAGGAAAATCTTTCAAATCTGACTGATGAATTTCTTTTAATTGACACGATTCGATGTGAATCACTTTCAGATGTTTAAAGAACTTTTCTAAACCTTTTGGGAAGACCTGGATCAGTGTGTTGACGGCACGAAATCCAAGAACATTCCTGTTGCTTTTTGAACGTTCATGTGTTCCACTAATTCTGCTGATTTCTGCTGATTCTTCTGTTAAAATGTTTGGATTGTTATTGACTGAGCAGCGATAAATGTCACCTACAACAGGATAGCTACCAAATCCAAAACTACATTCAATATTAGTCGATGCCGATAATCCACTAACTGCTAAGATAATAATAATGACGAAACTAAAATGAGAACACAAAAATCACGCGTCATATTTTTTTAAATAATTTTCACAACTCACAAAATCATTTTTTCAGTTCTTTATTTAAAATTAAACCAAAAACACTTTCTTTACATCTTTTAATGCCAAATGCTAGCTCAGAAATGACAAAACTAAATTGACAAACAATTACTAAAAAAAAACAAGTTTTTGACCTTCAGGCTGGAGATGAATCATCGCGTGTGCAAAAAAAGAATGAGATTGTTTTAAGGGGAAAACTACTTGGTGGAAAAATTCACTGTTTTTCTTGAATATTTTTGATGAAAAATTTGATAATGGAAAACAATGAAAATTGAAGATTGAAAACATTTTTCCACCAAGTTGTTTTCCCCTTGGAATGTATCGAATGTTATATTTAAGTTATAACTAATGTTATACTTTTTAAATTGAATTCAAATTCCGAGAGAAAAATACTTAAAAATCGTTAAATGAGAAGTTTGAAGTCATTGATGGAAGAAGCTTTGTTGTTTATAAAATAATTGAGCCGATTAATGAATGTTTGGTGAGGAAATCAATGCTTAGGATCCAAAATCTTCAAACTTTCTTCAATAATTCCATTTCTAGGTCGAAGTCTGCATGCAAAAGTCAAAAAACTCAAAATTTCATCAAGTCGGAAAATGTCAAAACTTCAATCGCTGTCAATATTCAAAACCAGGAGCAAATCTCAATCAAATCACAAAAAGAATCGCCAACTTTTTCAAAATTTCAGGCATTCAAGGATCATTGTCATCATGTCCAATTGTTGGATATCAAAATTTTTGAATATTTCAATTGGATTTTCAAATTTATTGACACTTTTGCCGAGAGGAGTTTTAAGGATTAGTGTGAGGAACTACAATATGAAGGATGGACTGCTGTTTGAGACGTCGGTTGTGATTTTGAACAAATGAATTAATTTGACTTATTTTTAGATTTTTAAATGCTGAATTTATGTTTAATTAATCATGACATTTACTTTTTTTTAAATAATATCCAAAAACATTAAATCATAATGTAGACACAACAATCTAAAAATAGAAGCCATAGGCTAGACTATAAATAAATATTTTGTGCTGTTTTTAACTTAAAAAAATTGAAAATGAATTTTTTACATTTTTTTCTAATTTTAAATTCAGCTTTAAAATTAAATTGTGAAAGAAAACTTCATAAAATTGAAAATTGCACGTCAACCGAGGAACTTAGTCATATTGTGAGATGTGATTTGGTCAATGGAATGATGTCAGTTGTTTATGATATTAAAGCACCAATCAGCAAGGCAATGGTAATAAAATCATAGCTTATTCTTCAGCTTAAAAGGTGACTAACCTCAAATTTGTCAATTTCCAGATCGAATACTGCTTTTTCAAGTTTGAATCCTCAAAATTTCGTCCACTCGGAAAATGTCAACATTTCGATCGTTGTAATTTATTCAACCATGGACCGACTTCCAATCCAATTCTAAGTGGATTATTCAAGATCTTAAAGCACATGGGAGCCTCAATAGCTCAAGTCACAGCACCATGTCCACTTTATGGACGTCAAGAATTTTTAAATATTTCTTTGTATTCAAATTTTTTGACAATTTTGCCGAGAGGAATGCTGCTCATTAGATACAAGATGTATAATAATGATGGGATTATTATTGGGATGTCTATTGTCATTGCTAATAGATGAATATGATGCTTGGATAGACGTCATTTTTAAACGACCCCAAATGACTCATAATGTCATGTTAAGCTTACAAATTGTTGAATAAAATCCATTTAATTTAAATTCTAATAGTTACTTCCTGGAAATTAACATTCTAGTAATGATATTAATTGATCCAAACATCCGATGTCCAAAATTACCAAAAATAATCTTTAAACCTTGCTTAGACTCTACAATCGACCAGTCATGAAAGTCAAAATCCAATTTTTAATACTTTTTCATTCATTTTTTACATTTTATTGTGAAAAGAAAATAATTAGAATCGAAAATTGCACATCGACTGAAAAGCTTTCGCATATTTCTCGTTGTGACTTGATTGATGGAAAGGTTTCAATTATTTATGACATAATTACAACGATTAATAAGGCAATGGTAAGGAATCTTAAAGATGGACAAACTGAGAGAGACTTATAGAGGCTGAGAGAGATTAAGAGAGATTGAGAGAGATTGAGAAAGACTTAGAGAGACTAAGAGAGGCTGAAAAAGACTGAGAGAGGCTTAGAGAGACTAAGAGAGACTGAAAGAGGCTAAGAGAGACTGAGAAAGACTGAGAGAGACTGAGAGAGACTTAGAGAGACTTAGAGAGACTAAGAGAGGCTGAGAGAGACTGAGAGAGGCTGAAAAAGACTGAAAGATACTGAGAGAGACTGAGAGAGACTTAGAGAGACTAAGAGAGGCTGAAAAAGACTGAGAGAGGCTTAGAGAGACTAAGAGAGGCTGAAAAAGACTGAGAGAGACTGAGAGAGACTGAGAGAGGCTTAGAGAGACTAAGAGAGACTGAAAGAGGCTGAAAAAGACTGAGAGAGGCTTAGAGAGACTAAGAGAGGCTGAAAGAGGCTGAGAGAGATTGAGAGAGATTGAGAGAGACTGAGAGAGACTTAGAGAGACTGAAAGAGGCTGAGAGAGATTGAGAGAGACTGAGAGAGACTTGGAGAGACTGCGAGAGGCTGAGAGAGACTGAGAGAGGCTAAGAGAGACTGAGAGAGATTGAGAGAGACTGAGAGAGATTGAGAAAGACTGGGAGAGACTTGGAGAGATTGAAAGACAAAAGTAATGACAAAAATTCTTCAATTTTCAGGTTGAGTTCTGCTTCTACAAATCTGAGAACGCAAAATTCCAGCTCCTCGGGAAATGCCTACGTTTTGATCGTTGCGAAATATTTAAATCAAAAATATCCAAAAATCCATTTCTTAGCCGTTTACTGTCATACTGGAAGTACATGGCAGATGCATTTGGAGATGCAATGTCACCATGTCCACTAGTTGGTCACCTTGAGTACCTCAATTTTAGCATTAACTCAAACTATTTAGCGTTTGTGCCGAAAGGTGTTTTGATGGCCAGTATTAAGATTTTTAATGGCGATGGAATCATTTTTGCTTGCTCTTTTGTTGTTGTCAATACTTAGCGGTAGCAGTGGGAATTGTAGCTATTACAGGGCGTGGCCAGGGTCTCCTGTTTCCTTGGTCTACTACTGATTTAACAAATTATTACAATAAAGCTATTTGAGTGATAAAAATCAAAAAATCTAAATTAATTGCCACAAAATTGTTTTAATGATTCATTACGTCCACATAGAATCATATTTAGTTCCATAATTATGATTACTTCTTTTGTAGCTTCTCATTTTAGTACCTTTTCATATTTTAGATCTAATTCATCTAGTCATGAACACTCTAGTACAAATTTTATCAATTTTAATTGCAATTTCATCGATAGAAGCTGAGAAAAGATTCCTAAAAGTTGAAAACTGCACTGCGGATGCCAAACTGGTTCGAATTCAACGATGTGAATTGGCAAACAACAAAATGTCGATAGTTTATGACATAATCAAGCCTATAGCAAGTTGTACGGTAAGATTAAGTTTTGATTGTTTTGCCTGATCAAAGAATGACTCAGCAGGGACAAACCATCCACTGGATGTAGCCCCTGCAGTCTAAAATTGAATCATGCAGTAGAATCAATTTCAAAAAAATCCGCCATTTTGAATTTCACCATTTTAAAAAAAGGACGTGGTTTAAAGCTGAAACCCCTTAAATTTCTCATTTCTAGGTCGAGTTCTGCTTTCACAAATCCGAAAATGGAAAGTTCCGTCCACTCGGAAAATGTCAACGCTTTGATCGCTGCAGAATCTTCAATCTAGATGTGAATTTAACACCAATAATGAAAAGACTTACAAGATTCATCAAATATGCAGGAAGTGCTAGCTTAATCCCATCCTGTCCGCTTCATGGACGTGAAGAGTATTTGGATATGACACTAAATGCCAATATTATGGGATTTTTACCGAAAGGAGTTTTGAAAATTAGTGTGAGGAACTTTAATGACGATGGAGTTATTTTTGCAATTTCTATAATTTTTATGAACAGTTAATAAAGTTTTTAGATTTAAATTTTGTAAAGTTTATTTTATTTATTTTTATATTTAAGTATTAATTAAAAGCATTGACATATTAAGCACAAATCTACCATCACTATCATACCTCATTGTATACAGCAAGACACCTTTTGGCAGAAAAGTCAATAAATTCGTGTCAAGATTAATGTTGCATGTCTCAAAGTGTCCTGTAAGCGGACATCCAGCTAAGTTTGTAAAGAATCCTAATTTCTTCCAGTAACTGTGAAGTCTTCTCATCATTGGATTCATAGTATTCGGGTTGGTCAATGTGCAGGCATCAAATCGCTGGCATTTTCCAATTTGACGAAACTTTGAATTTTCTGATTTACTGAAGCAGATTTCAAACTAGAAAATTTTGCGAAAATATTGAAGTACTAGAAATGATCTAGTCCATAAATTTAAGTACTAGAATCAATCTAGTCTATTAATTGAATTACTAGAACCAATCTAGTCCACAAATTCAAGTACTAGAATCAATCTCGTCTATATATTGAAGTACTAGAGTCAATCTAGTTCATAAGCTGAATTACTAGAATCAATCTAGTCCATAAATTGAATTACTAGAATCAATCAAGTTGATAAATTGAATTACTAGAAGAAATCTAGTCCATAAACTGAAAGTACTAGAGGAAATCTAGTCCATAAATTAGAAGTACTAGAATTAATCTAGTTAATAAATTCAAGTACTAGAATAAATCTCGTTTATATATTAAAGTACTAAGTTTATATATTGAAGTAATCTAGTTCATAAATTGAATTACTAGCATCAATCAAGTTGATAAATTGAAGTACTAGAGGAAATCAAGATAAATCCATCATTTCAACTTACATGCGGCTTAATTAATGGTTTAATCGTGTCCGTAATCAAACACAGCTTCCCATCAGTCATGTCACATCGCTCAATGGTTACAAATTCATCATTCGACTTGCATTCGTAAATTTTTTTAAACATTTTCTCAGAACTTACCAAATTAAAAGCTAGAAAAATTACAAAAATGTAAAATTGAGGCTTCATTCCATTGAGAGTGATTAACTGTGACTGAAATTAAATGAATATTTGGTTGGTAATTGAGCAGCTTTTGTGAATAAAATTAAAATTTTTGATACTTGTAATTTGAGATTTTTATCAGATTTTAATATCTGAATTATAAATTATGTCCCACCTTTAGCTGACTGTTTTGTCATTTAACCAAACTACAACAAGCATTCTCAAATCATGAAGATTTTATTCTACATTTCTCTAATCATTTCTCTGACAATTTGTGAGAAAAAGTTGTTAAAAGTTCGAGAATGCTTTACTGATCCTAAAATATCACGTCTTGTCCGATGTGAAATTATTGATGGAACATTTTTCCTCACTTTTGATGTTTTATCTCCTGTTCCTGAATGCATGGTAAGCTGACTAAAAGAAAACCAGATGGACAGACAGACAATCAGTAATATTCATAAATTGAAGATTCTAGTACTTCAATTTATGGACTAGTTTAACTCTAGTACTTCAAATGATGATCTAGATTGTTTCTAGTGCGTCAAACAAAATACTTGACTGATTCTAGTACTTCAATTTATGGACTAGACTGGCTCTAGTACTTCAATTTTTGGACTAGATTGACTCAACCACTTAAATTTATGGACCAGATTTATTCTGGTATTTCAATTTATGGACTAAATTGAAGCTAGTCCTTCATTTTATGGACTAGATTAAAGCTAGAACTTCAATTTATAAACTAAATTGACTCTAGTACTTCAATTGTCTACAAAATCGTTTCAGTTCGAGATTTGCTTCTACATATCCGAAAACTCAAAATTCCGACTTCTCGGAAAGTGTCAACAGCTAAATCGATGTGCAATCGACAAGTCAAACGTGAAATTCGCAAGTCCAATGATAACTGGAATTATGAAGTTTTGGAAACGAGCTGGAATCATGGCTGCATCCACAAAGTGTCCTCTATTTGGTCTTCAAGAATATTCAAATATTACATTGAGTTCAAATTTCTTCATGTTTTTACCGAAAGGAATTTTATTATTTACAGTCAGGATTTATAATGATGAATTTGAAAATATTGTAAAGATTGCGAATGTGTTGGTTAATAAATCTAGGTAAGCATGTGTAGCAGCTTAATTACGATTTTTTCAATTCATTAAAAAAGTGTTTAATTGTCAAAAGCAGACCAATTTTGAGTATTTTTAATCACAATTTTAAATATCAGTCAATCAAAAACTTCAGCAAAAATTGTCACATTTGGCTTGTTTTTCATCAATTATAGGCCATGAAATATTTTATTTTGTCTTTTTTATCAATTTTTCTAACAATTTGGACTACAAAATGTGAGAAAAAAATTCTTAAAGGCAAAGAATGTTCGTATTCTGATAAAATCGTTAGACTTGAGCGCTGTGAAGTTGTTGATGGGAAATGTTTCTTGAAATTTGAGGTGTTGAAGCCAATCGAGCAGTGCATGGTGAGCGAACTAATCATAGATAAGCATTTTCAAACCATTTTTTGCAAAAATTCTGAAATTTGTTCAAAAATGCGCTTTAACCTCTTGACATTCATACCTGACATTTTTTTCTTCTAGGTTGAACTCTGCTTCTACAAATCTGAAAACACAAAATTTCGTCTCCTTGGTAGATGTCAGCACATAGACCGATGTGAAATGTTCAAACCAGCTTACGCCAATAATCCATTCACGAAAAGTATTGTGGCATTTTGGAAACGGTCTGGAATTTCGGCGGCATCAGGTCCATGTCCCTTACAAGGAGTCCAAAACTATAAAAATATTACGATGAATGAGAATTTTTTGGTTTTTTTACCAAAGGGAATTTTGTTGTTTACTTTTAAGTTGTATAATGATGAATTTGACAATATTATTAAGATGGGAATGATTATAATAAATAATTAAAGATGAACAAGTTAAGAAGAAGATTAAGCCAGTGACAATCTTGAATCCAGTAACCAACAGCATTGGCAATTTTTCAGCAAATCAGAAGTTTCGGCTTTTAGTCGAAAATGAAATATAGACGTTGTTGGCTGTTTTGAGATGGTCCTAAGGCAATCTTGACCTTACTTCATTTTACACTGACTTAATCAAATCTAAATGTAACCTTGATCTAACCTTAAACTGAAATTGATCTTCCTTTGATCGAACCTTGAACTGACATTGATCTTACTTTGGGCTAACCTTGATCTAATCTTGATTTAACCTTGATCTGACCTTGAACTAACCTTGCTATAACCTTAATCTTACTTTGATCTTATCTTAATCTGACCTTGATTTAACCTTGATCTTATCTTGATCTAACCTTAATCTAATCTTGATCTGACCCTAATCAAACCTTGATTTAACCTTGATTTAACCTTGATTTAACCTTGATTCAACCTTGATATAACTTTGATCTGACCTTGATCTAATCTTGATCTTTTTTTGATCTAATCTTGATAAGACCTTGATCGAACCTTGAACTGACATTGATTTTCCTTTGATCTAACTTGTATCTAACCTTGATCTGACCTTGATATAACCTTAATCTAACCTTAATCTGACCTTGATTTAACATTGATCTTATCTTGATCTGACCTTGATCTAACCATGCTACGGACATTTCAGTGTCGAACCTTTTCGACATGTTTAAATTTAGTCGACCTAGCGTTTGAATATTTTAAAACCGTTAAAAATATGTCAATTTTAAGATTTTAAGCATTAATATTTAAATTCCTGTATTTTTCTGGGATGATTTTAGCTTAACTTAGCTAAACACGAAGCTGAGAATAAGAATCGTTTCCCCAAGCCTTGTTTTTGACAGTGTTTATAAGAAAAATTAATGAAAATTTAACGGTTTTTTGAGCAAAAAATAACGGACTTTTCGACGTGTCCGTAGCATGGATCTAACCATATCCTGAAGTAGTTTTGAACCAATCCTTTCAAATATCCTAACCCTCCTCTAATCCTTATTCCTCGTTAACTCTTATTTTGTTCAAACTTACTTCCCTAATCCTGTCCTTTGCTCTCATCCTGCAAATAAGAAGTTTTCGCTGAGTTCTCACAACTTTTTACATTATCCGTTTTTTAATCCAATAATTTATGTAGCCAACATCAATATATCATCACAATTACCCCATAATTCACTACAAAAACCTTTCCCCATCTCAATCCAATTTTCCGCCAAAACCATAAACAGATTAAGTCAGTTCATATTTACTCAATACACCCATAAATATCAAATAAGTCTATTAATTTTGATTGTACCGAAGAACTTTTTTTTCTACCTCTTCACTTCACATTCACTTCCATATCACATTATACGCTCTATTTAATTTAGAATAAATTGCTATCAGGATTGAAATAAAAAATTCTTTTCCTTTTTTTTCTTGCTGTGAGAGCTTCTCCAAAAATATAAAAAAAAGGTTAAATTGAGTGGATTTAAAGCGACATTAAGATGAAAGAGGCAAAGAAACATAAATTTTAGCAGAAAATGGGGAAAAGCAATTAATTTCAGCTGATTTTAAGGTTCAGTTTCAACTCTTCAAAATGAAAAAAAAAAATCTTCAGGACGGGAATAAAAGCTGCTCGACACTTGGCGGTGATTAGATTTATTATTCAATATAAAAAAAAGTTGTTAAATTGAATCAAACCGCAAAATTATTGCTTCGTGTTTTTGGCGATATGAAAAATTCGGGAAATTTATCATGTTTGAGGGTGGACTTCCAGGTGGATTTGAGGGATGAGTTTAGTTTTGTGGTAGCTTTTGAATTTTAGTCAAGTGACTTACCATTTTTACCTCATTCATCCATTTCGTTCAAAGGTGTGGAACTGAAGAATTACATTTTGATCATTTTTTGATCATTTTTGACCATTTTTGATCATTTCATCAGTTCCACGCCCTTAATTTCTTCTTAAATCGAGCGACAATGTTTAGAAAACTAGCCAGACGAAGCTAGAGGAAAGATCCTCTGTGCATTTAAATCGGCCTTTTCCTTTGACAAAAGTACAATAATAAATAATAATAATAATAATAATAATAATCCTGAGACCAGATTATTGGATTTCCTAGGTTGCAGGGGCGAAGCCAGGAATTTGAAGAGGAGGGGGGACAAAAAAATTTTATATGGAAAATTCAGAGGGAAGTTTTTTATAATTTTTTCATAAAACTCTTAGCAAAATGAAAAAAATTCTTTTAAAGTCGGGAGATTTGTCCCTCAAATTACCCCCCCCCCTCCCCCCTTCTGGTTACGCTTCTGCTAGGTTGCCTTAACATTACTATAGTGGAACTTAATGTGTTTTTGATTCTAGAGCAAGATACCTCAATTACTTTGGCTTTTGAAGGTCGCTAGCCTTCTATTGAGTCTGTTCCTTTGCCACTATGATCCATCGAACCCAATAATAGACCCAAAGATACCTCTCAGCAGTCGGTTTTTAGGGGATTCATGACTCAAGCTTCCCTTGTCTCAGATTAATTGTATTTACATCAAATATTAGAGAGCAACGACTTTAATATCTGATTGATTCCTTCTCTAAGTCTAGCTAAGGTGCTCAAGTAGCCCTTAAACCTGTATGTTATATCATCTGACTGTCGAACCGCCCATTTTTGAGCGGGAATGTCACACTTTTTGGAACCTATTTTTTTAAGAAAATACTTGAAAATTTGGTCTGTCCCAATTTTTCAAAGCTGAAATCAAGACATGCCCTGCTTTTTAACCAAAAATCTGCAAAAAATGATGAACAATCTAGACATATCTAACTCCTTAAATTATTTCCACCCGGAAGTCCACTTCTAACCTCAAATTTTCCAACCAATTAATTTTTTTTGCTCCTCTCTTTTGATAAATTATTTAAAAAAAATCCAACATTTTTTTCATCCATTTTATTAATTTTGTTGTAACAATTAAACATTCCAAAAATCCATCTGGTCTCTTTTTCAATTTTTTAATGAACTCCGTTCCATCAATTTTGATTATTTTATTTGATTTTTATAGTGCGAAGCTACGGAAATAATATTTTTGGGGATAGTCATTCAGTTGTGATGTCTAAAGAGTTGGTTGGAAGAGTATCTAATGTAGGAATGTATCCATTCAGCTTCTGTTGCTGAGAATCACTGAATAAAAACCTGCCGACCCATCTTTTCATCATAAACAGTCAACAATCACAACCATCACTCACAAATGACCCCCAAATCCAACTCATTCAACACAAAAATCTCCCCTTAAAAATTAATTAAAATGATGAAGTGAGCCACAGACTTTATTCGGGGTGATTCATTTAACTATTACGGATATTCTCACAATTTGATTTGATTAATTGGAGAAAGTTGGCATCGCTTCATCGAGTGGAGAAGGTGAAAATGATGAAGGACGAATGTAATTGAAAGCCGATGCTGGAATTGAGCAAGAAAAGTTTTTTTTTATCATGAAATGAGAATAAATTTCGAAATAATTTTCACGTGGGTTAAGATGGATCATTTACAGCCTCGAAAGGCTAAATGGGGTTCGATTTGAGATAAAGGAATAAATATTTTGCCAAGGTTAAGGCTGTATGTGAGAAATAAAGTTATGTTTCTGCCATTTTGGGTTTCGATAAACTTTCCTTTCTCGTCTGTTGTTGAACTTTTTCTCGTGTTTTTCTACTTTTGTTTGCATAGTTTTGTGTATGTTGTCTTCATGTTCTTTCTAATCGGTCGATATGATGTTCTACTGCTTTAGTTTTGCCTCAAATTAAGCGACACATTCGGTTCTGACATTTGGTTAACGGTAAATTAAACAGGATGTGAGTTTTTGGGGTGGTTGGAGCTTACTTAAGTGAAGTTAGCCTTACTTCTTTGAACCTGAGTTTGCCATACTTCTTTGAACCTGGGTTAGCCTTACTTCTTTGAACCTGAGTTTGCCCTACTTCTTTGAACCTGGGTTAGCCTTACTTCTTTGAACCTGAGTTTGCCATACTTCTTTGAACCTGGGTTAGCCTTACTTCTTTGAACCTGAGTTTGCCCTACTTCTTTGAACCTGGGTTAGCCTTACTTCTTTGAACCTGAGTTTGCCCTACTTCTTTGAACCTGGGTTAGCCTTACTTCTTTGAACCTGAGTTTGCCCTACTTCTTTGAACCTGGGTTAGCCTTACTTCTTTGAACCTGAGTTTGCCATACTTCTTTGAACCTGGGTTAGCCTTACTTCTTTGAACCTGAGTTTGCCATACTTCTTTGAACCTGGGTTAGTTCTCCTTTGAACAATCCACAAATTGTCCTTTAATAAATAATTCCTCACCTCCTGCATTTCCACTTTCCATTTCTTCTTCCACTTCTTCATTTTCATCATGTCCTGAACTACTTTTCTGTTCTTCTTCATTCTCGTCTCCAACATTCAAGTTTTCCTCTTCATCTTGTTCAACTTTCTCTTCCTTATCGTCCTCGTCTCCACTTCCATCCATCTTATCATCTTCTTCATCATTTTCCACTCCAATAATCCCCTCGTCTTGACTTTGGTCATTCGTGTCATATCCATTATCATTTTCTGCCTCATTCACTGCATCATCATTTCCCTCATTGTCAGTTGTTAATGTCGCGTCATCTCCGGATGCCTCTTTATCATCATCGTGATCATTTAAGAGTTTTAGGCGGTCTTCATGCTCTTTTGTAGACGGAATTTTATCATTTTCGGTGTCATTGTTGTCTTTGTGAATTGAAAATTGTTGATTGTCAGGTTTGGTGATGTCTTGGGGATTGGAGATGTCATCGTCAATTGCTGTAGGAGGAAATTGAGTGAATGTGTTGAATTGGATTTGTTTTTTGAAATATTGTTCGACAGTTTAAGACATAAAAGATGAATTTTGAAGGATAAGATTAGTTTAAAGAGATAAGTTTAGTTTCAGGATAAGTCCAGTTTTAATGGATTGGTTTAGTTTAAGGGATAAGCGCTGTTATTTGTGATTTGTTCAGTATCAAAGGATAAGTTCACTTTGGATCAAAAAAGTTCGATTTCTAGGAATAAGTCCAGTTTGTGGGATAAGTTCAATTTGAATAAAAATTTTAGTTTCAAGTGAAAGGTTCAGCTTTGAGAAGCGCTCAGTTGTGGGATGAGTTCATTTTGTGGAATAAGCTCAGTTTGTGGGATTTGTTCAGTTCACGAGATAACCTCAGTTCACGGGATACGTTCAGTTTGAGGGATAAGTTTAGTTCAAATGATAAGTTTTTTTTTGTGATCGAAGTCCAATAATGCATTAATACTTCAGAAGTTGCAGAATTATTCCAAAATGTAGCCTTAACCTCTTACTACCTCAACATCTTCATCAAATCAACTTAAAAGCTTCATTAATGCAGACACATGTCCCACTTAGTCCATAATTTTCATGAATAAAAAGCATCAAAAACTCAAATAAAAATAACTTTTTTTATGGTCATGTAAAATCTTATGCCATAAAGTCCACGTTTCGTTCCAAAATGTTATGTCCACCGCAAGATGTGGTCACAATAAGAAGATTTTCTTTGAATCCACAAACATTTTTGCTTTCAGACATCAAACACACAAAAGAAGCAGCAAATGTTGAAAATTCTCCTCCCATCAATTTTCATTACCTTCCATTTGACTCTGCTCAATTCCTGCCTCATCATCATTTTCAGAAACAATCGAATGAACGGCAAACGTTGCAATCCCAAAAATCAATAGAAATTTCTTCATTTTTTTTGCCTCCCTTTTATTTTTCTTTTTTTTTGGCAACAAGGAACGACTGTCAACTGAAATAAAACGATGATAATAACAATAATAACTAAAATCACATGTGCTGCTGACAGGCTTTTATATATATCGTGTATCATTGATGCTTTTCATTGCACAATTGATATTCATATCACATAGACATGCTTGTAGTTAGACATGCTTAAGTTGGGGGGTCGATTGCTTCCGGGATTAATGTCCATAACTTCAACATGTCGACTCCAGAACCCCCAAAAGCTGAAAAATTCTCATTAGCTACTCATGAAAATTACTCAAATTTCTAGGGAAATCCAATTCCAATGTGTTGTTGTTGCTGATGCCCTCGAGAGGATTGTTGTTGCTAATGATTGATTGACGTGTGTAGATTTTTGTCAATGGGAGGAAAAAAGACTGGAAAATGATCGTAATTATCCAGCTATGCACAAATAAAATAGTGATTTAATTTCAATACAGTTAGCTAATGAGCTTTTGACGTTTTTTGAATTTTGATGCGATTTTTGCGATTCGTTTGGTGTGATTTTAGATATTTAATGTGTGTTGTTCTGGTAATTTAGATTAAAAGATTAGAAATTGGATGAATTAATTTGATTTGGAATTAATATTTGGGTTATGTGCGGTTTTTGAACTAGATTGTGGTTGACTTTGTTGTAAAATGAGCAAAAATGTAAAATTTAAGTCATTTCGGTAAGGATAAGTTTAGTTTTTAATGGATAAGTTGGGGGTTTGACAAGGATAAGTTCAATACTTGGCAAGAATAAGTTCATTTTAAGTCAAGAATAAGTTTAATTTACAAACAGGATAAGTTCAATCTTTATAAGGGAAAAGTTTTTGTTTCAAGGATAAGCTCAGTTTCTATCAAGGAAAGACGTTCATCTTATTAAGAATAAGTTCAGTTTTAGAGAATAATAAGTTCAGTTTTTGAGACGGATAAGTTTAGTTATTGATAAGAGCACGTTCAGTTTTTAGGGAGATACGTTCAGTTATTGATAAGGACAAGTTCAGTTTTAGGTGGATAAGTTCAGTTATAGATAAGGACAAGTTCAGTTTTTGAGAAGGATAAGTTCAATGTTTTTCAATAATAAATTCAGTTTTCTCAACAAAAGCTCGATTTTTTAAGGATAAAATAATTTTTTGAAAAGGATAAGTTCAGTTATTGAGAAGGAAAAGTTCAGTTATTCAGAAGGATAAGTTCAGTTATTGAGAACAAAAGTTCGATTGTTGTCAATAATGAATTCAGTTTTTGCCAAGAAAATTTTTAGTTCTGAGCATCAACAAAATCAGAACCAAGTGCAACATCCAGCACCAAATCATAAAATTCAAGATATAAATCATAATCTACATCTTAATTGAACTGTCTGTTCCTTAATAATCATCATTTATCAATCCACAACTTGATTGAATATGCGTGATGATATCAAATAATGAAAAATTATCATCCGTCGACTCGAACTCAAATTAATGATCGAAATTCATTCAATATTCTATCAATTAATTCTGCATCTTCATTTCTCCATTCTGAAGCTAGAATTGAAAACTATACAAAAATTGTGAATACCTCATTTTAATGTTATTCATCCCTCTTGTGACTTCTTAACATCTTAATAACGAAACATCAGACAAATTAAAATAAAAATTCTGAATAGCAAATGCAAATTTTTTCCACTTCATAATTTAGTTCCTTTTATCTTCATGCAGACGTACGAGTTGTAAATGCAATTCATTGAATAATCACCATGCAAATTAGTGATGAATAATGAAGAGATGAGTTCGAGATGAATTGAAAGAAACTTTTTGCATTCTTCTTATCGCAATTTAATGAGTTTCAAGTCTGCAGTGAATAAATTTTCGAGATGTAAATGTGAAAATAATTTTTAATTTGAAGAAGATTTTAATGAGTTGAGAAGTTTTCTGACGAAATATGTGCGAAGTAAGGGTGGGGTTAGGTGGGTGGATGAACTTTGAAATATTTTGAATAAATACCAAACAGATCTTAAGTTTTGAGTTTATGAATCATTTCCATTTTATAGAAGTTGAATAATTTTGGATGAAGGAACTGAACGTGTCCTTTTTAAGTACTGAACGTATCCTTTTTAAGTACTGAACGTATCCTTAGTAGAAACTGAACTTAACCTAGTCGAAAACTTAATTTCTTTTTGTCAAAAACTGAATCTAAACTTTCCAGTCACTGGACTTATTCCTGTAAAAACTAAACTCATCCTTGTAAAAACTAAACTCATCCTTGTAAAAACTAAACTCATCCTTGTTAAAACGTTGCCCGTCCTTTTAAAATTTAACTCATCCTAGATGAAAATTCAACTCATCTTTGACAAAACTGAACTTATTCTAAAGAAACTGAATTTATTCTTAAAAATAACTTGTTATTGTTAAGAACTGAACTTGTCCTTCATAAAAAACTGAAGTAATCATTGTCAAAAACTCAATTTATTTGTGTGACTGAAGTTAGCCGGCGTGTTATCACCAAATTATTTGAAACCTTTACCATAATTTCGTAATAATATCGTCGAAAAAACTGAAGTTATTCTTGACAGTAACTGAACTTATCCTTTTAAAAACTAAACTCAACATTGATTAAAAGTTAACTTAATTTTGACAAAACTGAAGTTATCCTAAAAACAAATTAAGTTTACTCTTAAAAAGGAACTTGTCATTGATAAAAATTGAACATATCCTTGATAAAAACTGAACTTATCCATATATATAATCAATTTTTTAACTGAACCTTTCTTTGCCAAGCCAATCAACCTAATCATAAATTTCTTATGGTAAAGTAATAATAAATTCACTCGACAGATTCAATCAACAGTCCAATTTCACGAAAGAAAATGACAAAAAAAATTGAAAAAATTCATTTCCAGGCAAAAAAAAATCACCAGACGACCATACAAATTCATTACACATCACAACCCTCACCCACACAATATTCAAGTCCATCCATCAAGGATGACACAAAAAACAATTTTTCTTGTCTGTACATCATAAATAAATATAAATGTCATGCTAGACGACAAAAGGAAGCATGAAGACAGTGGACATAAGGAGTGAGAATAAAAATGTGAAATGTAGTTGGCTCATAATGAGAACATCATATCAACTGTAGTTCAAATTTGACAAATAATGTACATGAAATGATATAACCATTAAGTTTTGCTGTTGATGCTGTGCTTCTCAGGCACTGGTGGGGGTCAGAGTGACTATACTGAGGCTTAAAAACAGGATTTCCAATTGTGTAGTACTTAACCTCAAAACTATCAATCTAGTTCATCAATAGACACCAGAAAATAATTAAACTTGCGGCAAAAGAAGCACATCCAACAAAGCTCAAGCATACAGCAAGAACATACCTAAACATGCCAAAAAAACACATAGTAAAGTCAAATTGAAGTCGAAAATTAATTTCTCACATCTTCATCATTGTCAATCACTTTCAAGTTTACTTAATCTTTAATTTGTATCAAATAGTCTAACAAACTACAGCAAAAAAACTAGACAAAAAAGGTTTGTGACATGACAGGATGATAAAGGAGGAAATAGAGATGAATTGAAAGGATTCGGATGGGAAGTAAGAAAGGCCTGGGAGATGTGAGTTAGTATTAAGGCGCATTTTGTGGAGATTTTCGTTTGTAAGTTCATTTGTTGCTTGAAGTCTAAGGCAGTGATGGTTAACCTGTGTGCCGTGGCACAAAGAAGATTTGACACCACTGGTCAAGGCGTAAAAGCTATCCCAAATATTCCATTGATCCCAAATATCCCAAAAATATCAAGAATAATCTCTGAGCCTGCCTAGCCACTGGTCTAGGGTAAAATTCATTTAGGTATACATCTTTTAGTATACTTCTTTAAGTATACATCTTTTAGTATGGGGTTGTTCATCAATGGCGTCACAAGGAGGACAAGGGAAGAGGGCCAGAGAGGGTTCAAATGCTTGTAAACAATTTAATTTCTTAGAATTCTATTGTTATTTTATTTTTTTTTTGAAAAATGACCAATCCTTTCACACATAATTGATGAACGATCCCTGAGGCCAGTTTCTGGGGCTTGATGAGGCATCTGCCCTTGTCTTAGGTGAGTTTTTTTAATATCCCAAATTTTAGTACATCGAGTTTAATTTGATCCCCTGGGTAGTCCTAAAATCCAGCCCCTTATAAACCCTTGTCATAGTTTCATACCCCGGACAAGTTTCTGATTGCTTTGCTGTCGAAACCTATTTTTTTTACTAGGACAAAATAAAAGCAATAAAGTCACTAAGAAAAATCTTCCACAAACTCAACAAACGTCAAAATGTAGTGCATAAACAACAAAACTAGCTAATCCACTCCTTTCGTCCCATTCCACATCCCCCAATATAACCTTAAAAGACACATTCATCCTCCCATCTTTTTTATTATCTATATCGTATAACAATGAAAATGTCACTCGGATCTGGTGCTGTAGACATGACTCGAGATATCTTATAACCTCACTTTTTTTTGTACTATTAATTTCTGTATTTTCTATTTTTGCTGAATGTCTGGTTTGATATTTCATTTATTTATTTATTTCTTGTGATCTTTGAGATTAGGTTAAGATGGGGGAAGGGGTAATGACGGGAGTGGGGGTGTAAGGGGGGGGGGGGTACTCAAAGATCACTGCATCATTTTAGCTGCCACTATAGACACTCTTAGGATTTTTTCGTGAAGTATTAGAGTTCCGCGGATTGAAGTTTGAGAAACACTGGAGCAAATGAAAGTAAAAAGGCTGGTTCTTGTTGAACTTGCAAAATAAATTCAATTCTTTCCGTGAATTTGTAATGATTTTCAGTTAAATCCATTCACAAACACACGCACACATCCTCAAACCTTTCAAACTATATTAACATAATCCCCAAAACTGTTCCTGTCATTTCCATAAGCACTGAAAAATTTAAACTAAATAATTTATGGCACATTTTCAGACATGAACTTTTCAAGTTTATTAGTAAAATGAGACATAAAGTTTAGACATTTTCAGTTGAACAGCGATAAATCATTGTCAGGTTGATTGTGATACGGTCCGCATGCTTGATATTCATCCCGCCAAATCGTGTCCTCGCCACACATGAAGTCATCTGTGAAGTAATTATTTATTGTTATTAAAAGCTTGACATAACCTCAAAAATGGCGGGAAAGTTAAGAATTGATGGTTGGATGTAATTGGGGACGTCTAGAAAAGTCTTGTGGACTATGGATGAGGTGTGGATAGCACAGCTGCACCTTTATCAATCCGTAGCTAAGGATCAAGCTTCAATAATCCAATCCATGCCATAGCAACCTACAAATATCAACTAAACCTTATAAACATCAATTGAACTCACATTTCATTCCATTAACGCATCGATAAAATCTTGTACAGTCTGTCTGATTCGGATAGAATCTACTCGAGTCCTTGCCACGACAAATTTCATTTTGCTGAATGCTTTTTGAGATAAAAACTGCGAGAAAAATCACTGAAATAATTTTTGTGAACATTTTGAATTGAAAGTTGGCAGCGAACTGATGCAGAAATATTCTTTTGATCAAGAACTGTACATTAAGTAGGTCAGCGGAGAAATTTGCATATAAACTTGATATAACGGGAGTCTTTAAGATGCTGTTCTTTGGATAAAATAGAGTAGAATTCAAGTTGTGACTTTTGCATACTCAGAAGCACTTCAAGGTACCAATTAAGCAGCAATAAATTATTCAACAAATTCCACATTTCAAGAAATTTTATTCAAATGCATTCCCTCAAACCAAATGAATTAAAAATTCAAAAACAAAAAAAAATATTTCTAGGAAAAAAAATAATTAAGCTTCAAAACAAAAATTTCTGTAGAACATTAGAACCTCCCTTGCATTCATACAAATAAATTGGAGATGAATAATGAACAGAAAAAATTGTGTTTTTTAAGCTACGTTTTGTGCTTGGGTTTTTGTGGATGAATAATAGATTCAGTATGTAGGTTGGTAGCGTCTGACATGTCTTGAATATTTTTTTTTGTTCTGCACAAATGATTTATTTATGATGCAAAATATATATTTAGGCGAAGACGGAACTGAGAGAATCGAGAGTAAAAAATGCATTAGGCGATAAAAACAGACGATGATGATTTCGCATGAATGTGGAACTGAGGCAACTGATCGAACTCTAGAATGAGGATGAGAATGAAGTAATCGATGAGAATGATGAAGAAGACAATAAATGTGGGTGTGTCGACTATGAATTGTTAAGGTTAAGCTTGACCTTTAGTATATTTGTCTTTCTTGTCCATTATGGCTTCTGTTTGACTATCTTTGGCTGTCTTGTGCCGTTTTTTTTTTCAAACTGTGCTTGACTATATCTAGCTTCATTTAGTTGTCTTTGAACACGTTATACTGTCCTAAGCTTTACTTGGTTGCCTGCGTCTGTCTTTAGTTGTGTTCAACTTTACTCGGTTGTCTTCGGTTGTTTTCGGTTGTTTTCGGTTGTCTTCGGTTGTTTTCGGTTGTCTTCGGTTGTCTTCGGTTGGCTTCGGCTGCTTCGGTTGTCTTCGGTTGTCTTCGATTGTCTAGGGCTGTTTTCGGTTTTCTTCGGTTTTCTTCGCTTTTCTTCGGTTGTTTTCGGTTGTCTTCGGTTTTATTCGATTTTCTTCGGTTGTATTCGGTTGTCTTCGGTTGTTTTCGGTTGTTTTCGGTTGTTTTCGGTTGTCTTCGATTGTCTTCGGTTTTCTTCGGTTGTCTTCGATTGTCTTGGGCTGTTGTCGGTTTTATTCGGTTTTCTTCTGTTGTTTTCGGTTGTCTTCGGATGTCTTCGGTTGTCTTGGGTTTTCTTCGGTTTTCTTCGGGTGTCTTCGGTTGTTTTAGGTTGTCTTCGGTTTTCTTCGGTTGTCTTAGGTCTTCTTCGGTTTTCTTCGGTTGTCTTCGATTGTCTTGGGATGTTTTCGGTTTTCTTCGGTTTTCTTCGGTAGTTTTTGGCTGTCCTCGGCTGTATTCAATTAACTTCAGGTGTCTTCACTTATGTTTTGTTATCTGTAGCCATGCGTTGTTACCATTAGCTTCGCCTGTCTGTCTGTCCGTATTTTCCCGCTTGTCTGCTTTATTCATCTGTTTCGTCTTGTAATTAATCAAAAAAGCTTTCCAAGAACCCATCCAACCGTACACAAACATATCAAGCACATTCAACTAGTTTCCTTAAAACTTCCACAGCAATAAATTCATTAGACTTAATTTTCCAACTCAATAAGAATCATTTAATTAAAATAGATTTGATTTATGTCTCAAAAGATTTAAAACTTAATTCGAATGAAAATGTTTAAAATGTTTCCCAAATTCAAATTGAATTAAACGACTGAAAATGAAATGTTAAATGGGAAAATCTTTTATTTATAAACTTTGCGGAACTAAAAGCAAATATTGACTCGAGAGTCAGCAAACTTTTTTAAATTCCTTTCATGAAAAACTTTTAATTTGACATTCAACCTTAAGTTCTTAACAAACAGCTTTTAGTTTGAGTAAACTTAAGTTCTTGAGTCTCCCCATCCACATCCGGCACAGAAATAAGAGTTGAGATGGAAATTGAGTGAAAATAAATGAAGATTTTTTTTTACTTCTTCTTGCTCGTTTCTATTTCCATCAATCATTTTGAATCATCTTCAACTCTTTTTTTGCTACTTTTTATTCCAATTCCATTTATTTTACTTGCTTCAGTTTCGACATTTAACTACGGAATGAACAATTTTGTACAAAAAATATTTCTCGTGTTTAACATTTTTTGCTACATATTATTTTAAATTGGGAATTTAAGAAGAATTTTGGGTTTTTTTTGTTTGTCTGTTTGGCTGGAGAAACTTTATTTTAAGCAGTTTGGCGCCTTTTGTGAAAAATTCAATTTAGTTTTCCTCGTTCTTCAATTTTGAATGTTGTTTCACATCCCTTTTTTGAATATTGCTTAGTTTCACACCCCTTTTCAGACTTTGATGTAGTTTCGCGTCTTTTTTGAGCTTTTTGTGTAATTTCACATCCGTAATAAACTTTGTTCAAGTGTCAAATCCACTTTAAATCCTTTTTTCGAATACTGCAATCTTTTTTTGGATTTTCGGGTATTTTCATACCTCTTTTTGAATTTTTTGAGTAGTCATACACCCCTTTTAATTTATTTATGTATGACCTCACTCTTTTTATTCAAATCAAAGTAAAATGTCACAATTTAATGCACTTTGTGTAGTTTTACACCCCAAAATGCGCTCTAAACAACATCGACCCAATTTGCTTCCTTACTTTTCACTTTTCCCTTGAAAATCAACTATTTTTCATCCCATTTTACATTCCAAATATTTCAAACGTTCAATTAGTTTCAATTAAATTCCATTACCGTAAAAATGAATTTCCAAAGTTTTGATTTTAAATGTTTGTTTATTTTTCTCTCATTTGTGAGCGCTGCGGTAAGTTTTACAAATTATTCAGCTCATTTTACTCAAAATCTAACCTCAAAAAATGATTTTCAGAAATTCGAGGATGAAATTTCATGCGAAAATCTCTCAACCATCGAGACTCACCCACTCGAATGCTGCATTTATCCACAATTTATTGACGATTTATCCGAGGTCACATATAAATGTTCAACATTATGTAAAGCACTTCCATCGCCGCCCTTTTATTGTCTGAAAAATTGTAAAATTAGTGAGTCAGGCGTGATTGCTCGTGGAAAATTCAATGGATCTAAAGTTATTAACTTATTTTACGAGGGTGGCTACAAAGATCCAACAAACTTGACTGAAAAATGGACAAAAGTTGTCAAAAAATCATTAAAAACTTGCGACAAAGAAGTTCAAACAGAATCAGACATAACCAGCGAAGACTACAACTTCTTTTACACAAAATTCATCGAATGTGTTAGAATGGAAAACTTCCTTAACTGTCCAGACTACTCAAAGGCTTCAAATTGTCAGAAAATCAACAAAATAATGTCTAAATGTGATGAATCAAATTATCCAATGCTGCATGAGTACTTCTTTGAAGAATTTTATTACAAAAATAATAATAATGTGACTCTGAAGTGGACGACTAGGACAACCACGTTAGGAACTCCGTACCCAACTGAGGAGACTACGGAAACGACTACGGAAACGACTTTGGAAACGAGCACGCAAACAACTTCGGAAACGACCACGAATAGGACAACAGAAATGACTTCAGAAACGACAACCAAGGTAGCAACAAAGGAAGCAACAGAGAAGACAATAAAAGAGACAACGGAGAACCCAACAGAAGAGACTACGACAGAGGATATCAGCACAACAAAGGAGTTTACAACTAAGGAACTAAGCACACCAGAAAGTGTTGTGACTACAGAATCAAAGTCAAGTCCTTCAAGTTACACAAAGACAAATTCTTTAAATAAGACAACAACCAAGAAAGTGACTCAGATTCCAACAAAACCGATAACTGTGGCTGCGATAAGAGCAAATGTGACGTCGAAAATAGGATAGTCATATGATCAAGGGGGTAAACAGCTTTGTGAGAAAATATTTTATTTAAAAAATTTTAATTTTTTTTCGTAGGAAATGCAAGGGTGCGGAATTGAAGAATTCATTTTTGATCATTTCATTAGTACCACCCTTAAGAAAATGCTGATGAAATTTAGAAAAAATTTTAAAGATTTTTTACACAAAGCTGTTATCCCCCTTGAAGTTATCAAATTTTTTTAACAATTTTTCTTCTGCATAAAATTCATTTTTTTTTATTTTCTTAACTTTACTATTTTGAATAGAGCCAAGCCCTGACTTTCAGGAAATTCCGGCTTTGTTGTAACTTTACTCCAGAGATGTCGTTTCCTCAAACTTTAGTCTAACAAAGTAAGGCGTCTATTTCATTAGTTTTACCAATTTCTGCAATTTTTCTTCTAAAATTTCCTCAAAAATTTTCATCAGTCGACTTTCAAGTCCTTTAACTTTTTCATCAAGATTTGTTGACATTTTGTCAACCTTGGTTGTCAGTTTCTTCTCAATTCTTTCAAGCTTCTCATCTATTTTTCCCTCAAAATCAATAAAGTGATCCTTAAAGCGTAGTGCCGAGATCTTGTCATCTGAATTGTCATTGATTTGACTTTCTTTTATGTTATTTTTGAGTTCATTAAGTTTTGATGTTAGGACGCTAAGGGACGAGTCTTGAGATGCTCTAAGGTCATCAAACTTAACCTCAGTTTGACTATTGTCATTAAGCTGATTTTGGGTATTTTGGATCTGATCAAGTTTAGATTCTTGGTCAATTACTAATGACTTTAAGCTATCCAAAGTGATTGAGAGTGTAGCTTTAAGTTCAACAGCATCCAGTCCACATTTAGTTAAGCTAAGGTCTTCAAACTTATTTAAAATGATTTTCTGATTAACGCTCAGATTTTCATCAATTTTTGAAACTTTTTTATCCAAAGCTATAAGTTTAATCATTTGATGACAATTCGGACATTCTTCGCTGTTCAAGAGTGCTTGGAATTGATCATTTAAGGTTCGGACCTTAGATAGTCTCGAGTTCTTATAAACTCTTATGAAGCTCTCCATTTGGGAGGCAAATTCATCAAAATTTGGTTCTTTTGACTCAATTTCTAGGTTTTTAAGTTGAGCATCAAGAGATAAAAATTCAGAATTTGTGCAGTTTGACTTAACAATTTTAATAACTTCTACAACTTGCTCTATTGAGTCAGATACGCTATTCGAGTTGGTCAGACAAGAGTCAGGATCCATGAAAAACCATCGCAATTTACTTAAACTATCAAAAACATTCGAGTCAATATGGACAATATTATTTTGGGAAAAGCTAATATATTCTAAATTTAGATTAAAATCAAAAAGACCTTGCTCAATAACCTCAATCTCATTCAACTTGACATTAAAATGAACTAAATTCGGAAATGGCTTGAGGTCTGATTGATGAACTTCCTTCATTTTGCAATCTTGAAATGTTATCATTTTGAGATTTTGGTATTTTTTACTTAAAATATGTGGAAAATAATTAATTGTTTTTGATTTAGCATAAAAACCGTGCACATGAGCGTTGGTTTTTGAAGTTGCGTGTGTTCCACTGATTCCACAACTGTCAGCTAAATCCTTTGATGTGATTTTAGGATCACTAATGATATAACATAAGTAAATATCCTTTAATCCTTCATAGGATGGGCTGCTATGGCCATAGTTGCTATTTATAGTGCATGAGTCACTAAGTGAAATAATGAAGCACGTGGATAGGCTGTAAAAATATTATAAGCTTCAATAAAGTCAAGGTTTTTTGATCTTTGTACTTACATTAAGATTATTTTCATTTTTAAGTATTCAGTAATATTTTAAAAATATTTAATCTTTAAGCTATAAAAGCTGATCGTCGAATGAATGAACAAGACAGCAAGCTTGTCAAATTTATTGTGTTCCTATATTCAGAGACACTTAGCTTGATATTCTTTGAACTAAATGACATAAACTGAAATAGAACTGCGATTAAATTAACTTGACACAGCGAGATCTCCGTAGACCAGTGGAGCCCAACATTTTTTCACACCTTGATGGTAAGACATGACACAAGGCAGGGGCTTAGCCAGGAATTTGAAGAGGGGGGGACAAAAAAATTTATTTTTATGGAAAAATTTAGTGGGGGGGTGGGGGGTATTTTTGTGATTTTTCATAAAAACCCCAGCAAAATAAAGAAATTTCTGTTTACGTTAGGGGATTTGTCCCTCAATTACCCCCCCCCCCCCCTTCCCCGGCTACGCACCTGACACAGAACATACGATTAATGGAGGTATCTGAATCTTTCCGTGGCACATAGATTGGCCAGTACTGCAGTAGACTGATAAGGTTTTTACCCCGTTCCCCCGTTCCTCCCGTTCCCCCTACCCCACCTCCCCTAACCTAGAATTGAAAAAATTATCTAAACAAAACAACAATTATGTAAAATATTTACTAAATCATTGAGCATTTTTCCTTAACAATTTGAATGGCTGCTTTGACTTCCTCTCTAGAATTTTCAATGTATTGATTAACGCATGGCACTAGATGGAAGTAGAAAGACTCTAAATTATTCAAATGATCAAAAACATTTGGATCAATGCGGACAATTTGTTGTTCAAGAAACGCAATTAATTGTAAATTTGGATTAAAGTCAAACAGACCAGCTTCAATGGATTTAATAGAATTGAAGTAGAAACTTAAGCTTATTAAATTTGGGAATTGTTTCAAGTCCGATTGATGGATTTCCTTTAATTGACACGATTGGATGTAAATTGCTTTGATATTTTTGAAATATTTATCTAATCCAGTTGGGAAGTACTGCATTGTTATGCCAAATGCAACAAAACCGAGGACATCGTCGTTACTTTTTGAGTCCCAGTGTGATCCTCTGAGGATGTTGACTTTTGCTGATTCTTTAGTTAAAATGTTTGGATTGTCTTTGATTGAACAGCGATAAACGTCACCAATTACAGTGAATCTAGTTACGCTGTAGTCACAAACAATATCAGTTGATGACGATAGTCCGCTTAGTGATGCGATAAGGTAAATGATGAAGCTGAAAATAATAAACAAAATTGAATTTTTTTCAGATAATGTCGAATAAATAATAAAATTAAATAAGTCATGGAATGGTTTTTGGTTTGACCATTTCAATTGAATAGCTTTAACTTACAGAAATGATTTCTTCATTTTTATTGGTTTAAAAATTCAAACTTTGTTAAAAATAAGTCAAATAAATACTTCAGCATTGAAAGTTAAAAACAAAATAATCTCACTAGATATTTTGAGATTAATTGAATTTGATTTTTGTTGTGATTCTCTCAAAATCTCTCAGATGCTCTCAAACATGTGATTGATTATCAAAAAAAGGTTTTCGATTTTTGGTTCTTGGTTCTTGTTAATTGGTTCTTGGTTCTTGGTTCTTGGTTCTTGGTTCTTGGTTCTTGGTTCTTGGTTCTTGGTTCTTGGTTCTTGGTTATTGGTTCATGGTTCTTGGTTCTTGGTTCATGGTTCTTGGTTCTTGGTTCTTGGTTCTTGGTTCTTGGTTCTTGGTTCTTGGTTCTTGGTTCTTGGTTCTAGGTTTTTGGTTCTTGGTTCTTGGTTTTATGGTTCTTGATTCTTAGTTGTTGGTTCCTGGTTCTTGGGTTCTTGGTTCTTGATTATTGGTTCTTGGTTCATCGTTCATGGTTCTTGGTTCTTGGTTCTTGGTTCTTGGTTCTTGGTTCTTGGTTCTTGGTTATTGGTTATTGGTTCTTGCTTCTTGGTTCTTAGTTGTTGGTTCTTGGGTTCTTGGTTCTTGGTTCTTGGTTCTTGGTTTTTGGTTCTTGGTTCTTGGTTCTTGGTTATTGGTTCTTGCTTCTTGGTTCTTAGTTGTTGGTTCTTGGGTTCTTGGTTCTTGGTTCTTGGTTCTTGGTTCTTGGTTCTTGGTTCTTGGTTCTTGGTTCTTGGTTCTTGGTTATTGGTTCTTGCTTCTTGGTTCTTAGTTGTTGGTTCTTGGGTTCTTGGTTCTTGGTTCTTGGTTCTTGGTTCTTGGTTCTTGGCTCTTGTTTCTTGGTTCTTGGTTCTTGGTTCTTAGTTGTTGGTTCCTGGTTCTTGGGTTCTTGGTTCTTGGTTCTTGGTTCTTGGTTCTTGGTTCTTGGTTCTTGGTTCTTGGTTCTTGGTTCTTGGTTCTTGGTTCTTGGTTATTGGTTCTTGCTTCTTGGTTCTTAGTTGTTGGTTCTTGGGTTCTTGGTTCTTGGTTCTTGGTTCTTGGTTCTTGGTTCTTGGTTCTTGGTTCTTGGTTCATGGTTCTTGGTTCTTGGTTCTTGGTTCTTGGTTCTAGGTTTTTGGTTCTTGGTTCTTGGTTCTTGGTTCTTGGTTCTTGGTTCTTGGTTCTTGGTTATTGGTTCTTGCTTCTTGGTTCTTAGTTGTTGGTTCTTGGGTTCTTGGTTCTTGGTTCTTGGTTCTTGGTTCTTGGTTCTTGGTTCTTGGTTATTGGTTCTTGCTTCTTGGTTCTTAGTTGTTGGTTCTTGGGTTCTTGGTTCTTGGTTCTTGGTTCATGGTTCTTGGTTCTTGGTTCTTGGTTCTAGGTTTTTGGTTCTTGGTTCTTGGTTTTATGGTTCTTGATTCTTAGTTGTTGGTTCCTGGTTCTTGGGTTCTTGGTTCTTGGTTCTTGGTTCTTGGTTCTTGGTTCTTGGTTTTGGGTTCTTAAAAAATCTCAATTCTCAATTCTGAGCGCACATAACTTTAAATTTCATTAAAACTTTTCAGCAAAAACTCAATTCATGATTGACATCCAACATTAATGACTCTTCAGCTACAAAAAATCCCTTTTTTTTAAAAAAAAACTTCATCATCAACATTGACTGACATGAGCCGAAAAGTCATTAAATCCTAATGAAAGTATTGACCTTCATCAATCATCAAAATAGAAAATTGGATGAGAACAAATCCCCAAAAACAAGGAACAAGAAGACTGCAAAAAAATTATTTTTTGTTTTTTTCAAATCCAATTATTCCTTTCCAATTATTTTCAACCGGATGAGCTGATTGAGAGAAAGAAAAAGTCCTGAAATAGAAAATGAGGGAAAGGAAAAATTCAATTAATGAAAGGAAAAAAGGATGGAAAACCGAAGGACAAAGATTTATTTGAGACTGCTTAACAAAGTCTTGGATGTCTTCAATTTGATTGGCTTGAATGCGCTTTATTGGCAGTTTAAAGATTTTTTTTATGAAATTTTAAGAATGCGTTGTTGAAATTTGAGGTTATGTTTCTGAATTTTGAGGTTATGTTGCTGAATTTTGGGGTTATGTTTCTGAATATTAATCAAATTTTACAAATCATCAAAATCAGCTCAAAACACGCCAAAAAATCACTCCTACAACTCAAATCATAAAAATCTATTCACAAACAAATGCGTGACATAATAAAATTGACGTCAAACAAGAAGAAGAGCACAAAAAATTATGATGAGATGTGATGAATTGCACAAAATTGTTTCGTTCATGCTCTTGAAAAAAAATTGAGTCGGAACACGAGAGGAAAATAATGAAATTGAATGAAATAAAAAAATTTATTAAATTGAGTCAACGACTGAGCGGATGATGATGATGATGACTGGATGATTCTAAAGCTTTTGAGACGAATGTGACATAATTTGCTTATTTATCAAGAAAAATTTGACTTTAATTTCGTAATTGGATTGCTTGGTGTTGATTTGATGAATTCGAGTTGATTATTTCATGATTTGTAAGGTTCGTCATGACCTGGAAGCTAACGTTTAAGGTTAAGCATTGACTTTGGAGGTTAGGATGATAGATGTTGAGGTTATGTTGCCAAATTTAGGATTATGTTGCTGAATTTTGAGGTTATTTTGTTGAATTTTAAGGTTATGATGCTGAATTTTGAGGTTATGTTGCTGAATTTTGAGGTTATTTTGGCAAATTTTGAGATAATGTTGCCAAATTTTGAGGTTATCTTACCAAACTTTGAGGTTATGTTGCCAAATTTTTAGGTTATGTTGCCAAAGTTTGAGGTTATGTTGCCAAATTTTGAGGTTATCTTACCAAACTTTGAGGTTATGTTGCCAAATTTTTAGGTTATGTTGCCAAAGTTTGAGGTTATGTTGCCAAATTTTTAAGGTTATGTTATTGAATTTTGTAATTATACTGACAATTTTGGTTAATACTCATTTCATTTAAAAGCCATCAACACTATCCAACACCATCAACATCACACCCAAACAACTCCATTAAGAGCATAATGCAAAAAGTCAAGTACATATTACCGCCGATGCTTTCATTCCACATTTCAATTCACACTCATTTTCCGTCTTCATTCCTTTGACAATCTCAAAAGTGCACATGATGCAACATCAAAAAACATAAAAAAACCTGCAACATTAACACTTTCATTTAAAATAAAACTCGACATAATGACAAAATGAGTTTCTTTGATGTCTGCATCGTGCATTTTTCAAGTGAAACTAAGTGATATGTCTTTGATGTAATGAAAAGTAGACGAGTTGCTGCAGTGAGAGGAACAAAAAAGGTTGGAAAAAAAAGTTTTTGATGTTTAAGGATGGAAAAAAAAATTAGACGTGAAGTAATTTTTGAAGAGGAAAACTTTTTTGTACTTTTGTGAATAAAGTTTTGTGAAAAAAAGGAAAAACAACTGCAATGAGAGGAAAATTGTTAAGGAAAAGTTGGAAAGGAAAATTGCAATTTTCTTAAACAAAAAGCTGTAAAAATAAACAAAAGGGTTCATTAATGTTTTCTTCTAGCTTCTTTTTATGTCAGCATTGAGAAAAGTCATTTTGTTTGAAGATTCGGATACAACAAACTGCACTTTAGGGAACATAACCTCAAAACATGGCAACATGTCCTCAAAATTCGGCAAAATAACCTCAAAGTTCAGCAACATAACCTCAAATTTGAGACAAAACCCCAAATTTGAGACATAACCTCAAATTCCGCAGCATAACCTAAAAATTTGCCATCATAGCCTTAAAGTTCAGCAACATAACCTCAAAATGACTAAAATAAACTGAAAATTCAGCAACATAACCTGAAAATTTTGTCACATAACCTTAAATTTGACACATAACCTCAAAATTCAGCAGCATGTCCTCAAAATTTGCCAACATAGCCTCAAAGTTCTGCAGCCTAACCTAAAGATTAACAACTTTATCTCAAAAATTTCCATAAACTTCAGCATTTGCAGATCCAGATGTGAAACTTCATTAAAATTTATCCAAAGCTACAAAAACTAAATTTCTTAATTTTAAACAAAAACTTTGCCAATTTTTCGTCTCCATCAACACAAAAGCAGCTTCACAGCTTACAAAAACACTTAACATAAGCTCTAAAAACTTGAAACTAATTTTTTCACTTCATAATCCGCATTAAGCATATTGTCTGCAAAGTTATCAAATTTCCATCAACTTCATTATGAACATTGTGTAGTCATGCAAATAAAAAATCAATTTTACAGCTTAAATTACACAAGAAATTGCTCAATTTAGAATCGAAGACTTAAAAGTTTATTTTTTACTGCAATTTTCTATCTTTGAGCTCAAATGTGCGGTTGTGAATGTCTGATTACTGTTAAGTCTATCCGCCTTACCCGAAGCCATTCAAAATAAGCATTTTGAAAATGTGTGAAATGAATTTTAAATAAAACTATTTTTTATTGCTGCAATATCGGCTTGAAATTTGAGACAGGAAAAGTCAATTAGAGAGGAATTGAGAGGAAAATTTTGCAAGCTTGTCAGGGGTTTGGGAGGATTATATTGAGGTTATGTTGATAGCATTTTGTTGGAATTTAAAAGAAAATATTATTGTGCGCCAAATTTTGGGTAGACAGTAATGTGAATTCCAAAAAATGGCGCACGGGAATAAAAAGTTGGCTTTATTTTTTAAATTTGTGAACCTAACCTTAAAGTTTGAAAAATAAGCTCGAACTTTAATGACTTAACCTCAAAATTCAGCAACCTAACCTCAAAAATTCAGTAAATTAACCTCAAAACTTGTCAATTTTATCTCAAAATCCATCTTAATCCCAGCCTATATCCCCGAAAAATCCACTCAATGTTGCAAAAAAAACAAAAAAAGAAAATTAAGTGAAAAACTGCAGTTGTGGAACTTCATTGAACATGCTTATGCACCATGACACTTAATGCGATTACTTTTACCCTTTCTCTCACATTGTTTCCACAATTGCATCGTAGTACACAGCATGAAGTTGTTAAACTTACACACAGACAAGCAGCAATGGGAATTAAGTCTTTTTTTTGTGGAGCGAACAAAAAATT